TTTTCAATAACCGAGTCATCATGTTGTATCGATGGTGAATGCAGAAAAAAGCATGGAAGAAAATGACTGGCGAAAATGTCCGCAACCTTTTGACTTGAATAGTAAACAGAATTGTCAAGCAAGGTGATTCTGCTATTCTTTTCCCGTTCATGCTGTTTTGCTAACTTCCAGAAAGCTTTGGAGTCACGCGTCAGACTGCGTTCAACATATTCGGAATAAAAACACTTTTGTTCCGCTCATACAGCTTCTTAACCAAGGCACGACAGATAGCAAATTTTTCATAGAAAACATATAGTCTCGACTTCTTACTATGTTTATGAAATCATTGTTTTTTTTTTTAAATAGAACTTCAATTCAGAAGAAAACCAAGAAGAATATTTTGATGAGTGAGTCACTTTTTTCATAATATATAGTTTTAGCGCTCGACGAATAACAGAAGTCAAGATTTCAACGGCTGACTACACGCACGATTCATACAACACATTTGTCCAGTCATAACTTACAAGGTACCTGTACAAACTTGGATAATCATGAAATTGAAGACAGAAGACGACCGTCTTGTAGTATTATGTGCAGGCAATCGACAAGAGACAGTAAATGGCGGGTGAAACTCGTCAATGCTCACCAAGGGCTGAGAAGCCCGGTGTGACATAGTACGCAGATGAGCTTGACAAAAAAAAAAAATCAAGTATGTTCTCTGCCTCATTTTTTAAATTATTTAACTGATGAAGGCCGTTGACGTTAATGAAGTCACCTCAAAAGGAGGCCTTCCTTGCTGTTTCTGAATTAACACCAGTAACTAAAATATCCGGAATATTAAAATCATCCGATATCTGCACACTAAACTTAGTAAAGTCAATTTAGTTTTGAATCTTATTGAAATGGTTTATGAAAGATGCATGATCATACAGAGGAGGAAGTAATAATTTCCAAACAGCAAATTAAAACCATCCTTTGTCTGCAGCTCTACCCAAGCACATTGTAGGTTTCCGGAAAATATTCACTATTCACAAGACTATCGTTCATGCATGTTTCAGTTAAACATATGGTTCATGTTTCAGTTAAACATATGGTTTCGGGCTCACTCTGCAAAACATTGATCATAAATTCTTCAGACTTTGTATGGAGTCTGCACATATTCCGATAAGAAATGTTAAGCATGATGAGGATGTGTAATGGTACGAGTTTCGTCTAGCCTACCAAAAAAAACTCCTGAAAAATGCAGCCCTCTGGTCGACTTCCGGCTTGTTTAAGTGCATCAAACAGTTACGGGGTAATAGCAAGGTTAAACGACGCGTATGTCTGAAATCTAGGCTTCAATTTGGTTTTGAAATAGAACTAAAATTGCAAATATTACTGTAAACGTTATATTTGCACCATGTTTCACTTTGCTGGGGTTATTTATAGTTTTGAAATTAGACGCTCCACGCACGTGAAACGTGCGAGACGGTCACTTCGCATGCTGGCTGGTCTGGCGGTAGTGGCAGCTGGAGTGCTGGCTCTTCCGATCCAGACTTTTAATGCTTCTCAGAATTTTATTTAGAGGATAAGCGCTTACTATCCAACGAAGAAGCTCTATAAAGCACCTCTGGTTCAAAATCTGAAAGCGCCAAAATGACGTTGAATTGGACGTGCAAAAACAAAGCCCGAACAAAAAAAAAGGTGACACCTTTCCTTTAAATAATTCCACTTGATGCTCCCTCCCGCTAGATCATTTTTAAAAAAACCTGCACATTGACCCTTTCTTCATACAATTACTTTGGAAACGAAACCCGAACCCAGGAAAACATCTTTTTGGAAAAAAGACTCTATCGTCAAAGGGTTAATAATTCATAGATGCTCACGAAACTGAAAGTAGAAGCAGAGCATTCTGCAGCTGCTTTGAAGAGAATGATTTAGACATTCCTTAATTGAAAATTAATGTATCTTAATCTTACGAATTAAGTCGGGAGAGACGATGTGCAGCTTGTTTTGAGCTCTGTGGGGCGTTTATTTACGAGCATTTGTGAGCTCGTCATATGTACAATACATAGGATGAGCATCGTACATAGAGTGACATGATTGGTCAGAGTCATTTTGGTGCAGCTCTTGGAGCAGCCAAATGTCAATTTTGGAGCAGCAAAAAAGTTTTGGAGCATAAGTGCACACTTCCCTTTTCATTCATACCACTGCAAATACAATGTTCAGATTAATATGTCAACCTGTTCAACTAAAAGGCAATGTCCACTCTGCCTTCTCACTTACGTGCAACCCTTTGTTATTGATTGCACAGCAGGAGTGATTCCCTCACAGAACTAGTGTTTAGCTGCGTGGAGAAGCACCAGCCACGCTAACAAGATGGCTGATGAAGGACAGCCCAAAATGCTGCAAATGGTTATTTTATGTACTAAATCCCACTGAAATAACGTTGGAATACAACAATTTTTAGCACCTAAACTAATGTTTCAAGTTCCAGAGGTTTTAATCAAACTGCAATTTATAATCCAGATAAAAGAACAAAGCACTTGTCATCTGACTGTGAACGTCAATTACATTTTATATGTAGAACTTCCTTTCCTTCAAGTTCCAGAGGTTTTAATTAAACTGCAATTTATAATTCAGATAAAAGAACAAAGCACTTGTCATCTGATTGTGAAAGTCAATTACATTTAATTTGTAGAACTTCCTAACAAAAATTAGCATGTGAACAATTATATGCCTCCTTAAAAACAATCCCACCAAAATTGTGAAGGTTCTTACCAAGATTTCACGCACTGCTCCTGCTAATGTATTTATAATTTACTCACACCAATATAACAGTAACAGCTAAAAAAAAAAAAAAAAAGTCAAATTTGGGGGTTTCACGCGCCAAACCAATGACGGGCACCTGGCACGCCCCAGCGGAGGACTGAGGATTAATTTGGACCACCTCGGGATCTTTTGACGGGAAACCGAAAGCTCGGTTACATGGCGCCTCCTCCGCAAGAACAGCTAAACAAAAGTAGCATAAAAAATACTCCTGCCAATGTATTTATAATTGTGAAGTATATATTTTATATGTGACAGTTATAAAGTATAAAGTATAAAGTGACAGTTAAACAAAAGTGGCATAAAAATAAACTTACAGAAGAGTGCATATAAATCTTCTTGCAATACCGAAGTATCCTTGCTAAATCTCGATATGGAGAAAGGTACTGCCAGGCTATCGCAGTCTATCATATCTACAAGCCGAAGTTGCACTCGGAAATTGTTGTCTCGCTCTGAAAGAGTGCTTTCCCCTTAGCACACTGGTAGGCTGCGGCAAAGCAAGACACGCAAAATTGTGATGCTTACTCCGTGGTTGTCGTTTCTCTGCAGTTCGTTAAATGAACGGTGAGAAGCGCACTCAACAAAACTAACTAACCTGCCAGAGCACACCACGAACATGAGAATGATTTCGAAACTTCCGAGTATACTGTAAGTCATCGATATGAAATGTAATCAAATAGTACATTATTTGAAGCAATAATTAAAAGTTCAGAAAACTTGCTTAAGCGTATCGTAACAGTCCGGCCAGGTAGTGAGGCTTGAGCTATTATATTTTTTAGTATTCTTAAAGGGAAATTAAGTTGTGGTGCCTTGTTGGCACAAATTCCTCACAATTTGGTAAAATGTAGCAGAATGCAGCAGGGTAAGCACTTGGGTGCGGTTTGACGCAAATGCCACAGCAATCACTCCACTGTACATATTGTGGTATTGTGCTATTATTGTGTCACATGGTTTGTACCACTATGGGTCGCCTGGTCACGTTACGTCACGGCACCATGTCATGATGCCGTTATGTCATTTGACGCTGTGACTTCACAGTGTCACAGCGTGGTGTCACCTGCGACGCCACTGACGCCCCAACGTGACATTGTGACGTTATGCGACTTGACGACATGTGACATGGTCATGTGGCTGGAGTCAAGGGACATCATAGTGTCACGTTGTGGCGTCAGTGACGTCATCTGATGCGATCACATGGCTGTTGTCATGTGACCACGTCATGCTGATGACGCCGCCTGATCACTGTCTCACTAATGACGTCATGTGATCCAGTTTTGCTGACGTCATGTCACGTGATCACCGTCTGCTAAAACTGGTGGGGTGCGTTCATCTCTAAATTTAGCCGAGCAACATGAACTGGTGTACAGCAAAGAAATTTCATGTTACACATTTGCGTTATACTTATAGGGACACTAAACTGCTTCCTAAGATCCTTGTTTTATTGTTATCACTTGATCTACAAGCTCTAAGCATCCTAAAAAACCCGAAACTACAATTATGCTCAGCCTATTTGCGTATTAAAAAATATCAAAGATCCCAACACTTACCGCTGGCACAAAACGACTCATGGCACTACTGAACTTTGCTGAATATGGTCTGAAGACGGACGGCGCTTGTCAGCTACTTGTGAGCAATGGGTTCCCGCGTGGACGAGCAGACGATCAGACCCACTTGTCCACACAGAAACCCGTCGCTTGCGAGTGGCTGAAAAGCACCGTCCGTCCTCAGACTATATTCAGCAAGGTACGGTAGCGCCATCTGTCGTACTGCGCCAACGGTAAGTGTCGGGAACTTTGATCACTTTTTTAATATGCAAATAGGCCACGCATTAATGTAATGTTGAGTTTTTTGAGGATGCTTAGAGCTCGTAGATTGAGTTATGACCATAAAACAAGGATCGCAAAAAGCACATTAGTGCCCCTATAAGTAATAGTTGGCCGTATTGTTCACTTTTCCAAAGGAAGAGACAAAACACAAGCTCAGCAATGTATTGTATAAAAAGACATGCCATACTTGGCCCTAGCACAGCAATGCTCGAGCCACAGTTGGTCCGAACTGGCAGAACGAAAGTTAGCAAGAAACAAAAAAAAAAAAACCTCCGTGACTGGACCGGCTAGTGGGCAGGATGTAACCCCAGTGATGGCCAAATCAAACAGAACACGCCACAAACACAGACAGGCACCACAGAGAGGGGAATACATATTTTTGCTCACTGTGTGGAGTTCCGGGTTGAAACGGATTTAACCGTGGTTCTTGGCGAAGCAAGGCACAGAGACAGAGCAAGGGAAGAAAGAGAGAAAGCAACGCCTGAGAGGGCACAGCAGCTCAGCAACAGCGGCTACCCCACAAAACACGCTCACTGTCACTGCAGATGGAAACTGCAGGATACAATGTCCACTTTGCAACTATCGCACACCCCACCATCTACACACACAGGACATTGAGAACACCACTGGCAGGATGCAAGGGAGGCAGGCACCTGCTTTGTGGCCACATCTTGCTGCAGCAATAAATAGCTGTCTCAACTGTCATGGCCCTGAGGAGGGGATGCCTGGTAAATTATGTAGCAACATGCTTGTAAACATTTTTTTTTTTTTTTTGCATTATACAAGTATGAATTTAAGAACAGAAATATGAGACATGTTACTTTTTTTTTACTTTACACAATTTGACCAAAACCTTTAAATGCCGACTTTGTTAAACCATTAACCCTTTAAGCAGCAAGGTTTTAGGGCTGAAATTTAGGTCAAAGAACAATAAAAAAAATCAATTTGTTGCCTAAAAGCATCTCAACTGCATCAACCGTTTCAGACACCGCGTTTTCAATAGTTTTGATCCAACATGCCTTATATTGTTGTTGGCTTGCAGTTGTGACTATGCTGGTGATGCCCAGCTCAAATTGCTCAACCGAACTGATGCACAAAAAAGACACCAGAAACAAGCACGAGAGAAACAGAAAATGAATTGTAGCAGCACTCCACAAGCATGCCTCTCGTCTGCAAGCTCAGTTTACCAAACCTAATTAGCAGAAAGAAAGAGAAAGAGCAGCAGGAACCAAGATATGATTAACTTGAAGGTTATCTACAGATGGTAGACACTGGAAACTACACACTGCAACTGCAGTGCAAATCTTTTAATGGCGCATGTCAGCGCAGCTTAGAGTTGAAAAAAAAAAAAAGGACAGTCACTTGTTGACTCAGTTTTTGTATGCTTAGAATAAAAGAGGTGAACCTTCGTTACTTGGTATGTTTCATACCCTTCAGATGACATAGAACCATTCAACTGTAAAGCTTCATATAGAATGTTTGTTTCAAGCAAGTCTGTCAGCAATGGTCTAACTTCCGAATAACATCCAGAGCACTTTAGAGCCATGTATGTACAGCGCACCCCAAACATAACGCCGCCACTGGGTTCCCAAACATTGAGCTCATGTCGGCTACTTACTGTTAAATTTGTCACCAAAACGTTCAGGACGCCTTCTCAGGATGGGATAAAAATCGGGAACGCAAAAATTCTTCAGATAGTTCAATCGGCTGCCATAGGGACTGTCAGAAACGGCAAATGCCGTGGCGGCGCTAAGTCTGAGGCGCACTGTACCTTCACACTGCCCACCATTACCACCATCAAATAGAATATTCACTATCTATCTTGTGAAAGTTTGCAAGTACCTAAACTGCAGTTAAAAACAGGGCCAAGAGGTCCTTTGTTGACAGCCAGGTTAAGGTTGGACGGCTCTGTTATCTATAAGTATTTGCTGGACTTATTTGGAGTCTGAAAACAAGGCTGAAATTGGGGCTTAAAACTAAAATCAGCCACCAAATGTCACAAGCAGAAAGTTTTCAGGAATTAAAATTGTGGCAGAAACGAAATTAAGCATGACATTCAGAGGCAGGCTTTCAAATGGCTCAATGAGTAGAAGTGTTTAAAACTAGCGGCATCCTCTGCAGGATATATTGGGACAACTTCAGAAACAGCACAAGGCTCTAGTTATGCTTATCTGGCACATTTGAATGCCATATCCTTGCCTGTCCAACTTACAGCCCTGGGGCATTCATCTACATACCTCTGATGGTTGCAAATATAAAACTTGAACAAAACAGTTGCACAAAAATGGGAAATTATATCTATCTGTGTATCAACAACAACAAAAAAAAGATAAAATAAGAAAGCTTCAGGGCACACCTTTACTGAAAAAGTCTGATGTTCACAGAAACATTCACTTTGGCCTGATATAAAAAAGAGCAGCTTTTTTTGCCACCTGTTAAAATTTACTTTCCTTTCCTGAAGTTGAAACAGTGGTTAAAATCTTTTTTTTAATATTTGCAGGCCATTGTACGGCACCAAAAGAACATGCTTTTAGTCTTTCAAGTGCTGCAATAAAATGTGTTTAACGAGTGTCCTTTCTATAGAGTGAAAAAGCAAATTAAGAATTGTTGCATAGGCAGAAGATTTGCAGATCAGGAAATTTAAAATCAAAAATAATATATCTCAGGGCTGTCGGTGGGCACACATTACATTATATTTTCAAGAGCAAGAACGGATGTCCCCTCCATGCCACATCAGCCAGGCTCAAGGTCAAACAAAGCCAAATTAAGAGCTTTCAATGCAATGCAAATGTGCCTCCCACACTATTCTCTTGACAAGTCAAAACTATACCGCTACCATAGTTGTGCTGTTTAACAAAAGGTATAAATGGGAAGATGCACTAATTTCTAGCTGTGCGAATGACAAGAGAACAAAAAGGTAAATAAATGGGAAAGGACAGTTAATGACAGAGCAGAGAAGGGAGAAAAGCACTCACCATCCGAAGGGGTTTGGTAGTGTGCAAATTCTGGAAAGTACTCTTCTAACCTAGACTTGCCAGCCTTGATTTTTTCCGCTAGCAAATCCTGCTTGTTAAGGAACAGGATCACAGATATTGTCCGTAACCACCTGGCAACAGCAAACAAAGAAAAAGAGAGGAAGCACTTTACGACAGTCCAATCGAGGGAATCAGCCAGAACCGGAGAAGAGACAAAGACCATTTGAGAAAGAATCTTAGGAAACCACAAAAGATGCAGGCATGCAGCACACACCAACACAGCGCCAACCCTAGACAGATTCACCTCAAAATGAGGCCCATGTAAAACAGTTCCCCTTCGGAAAAACCTTAACACTAGGCTAGTACATGCACAAAAGCCTAGGAAGAATTTTGGCACCTATCTTTCAGCAGTCAAAACGTTGAAAATCCAACCAGATACTCAGCTCACAGTAACACAAGATACACTTATATTTCAACTGGTGTATTCAATGCAACTAGCCCCAAAATGTTGACCTGGATCACCATTTCGTGCCAATTTATACTGTCTGGTGACCTCCAGCCACTCGCAGCTTAATATAGTAGGGTGAAACCTTACCAACTGTCCGCTCTCGGCGCGCGTTTTGACTGTACGGAGGTGTCCGAGTTAGAAAGCTGTTCACTGTGCGACATGTGATACATCTGTGCTCAAGTGAGGCTATCCTACTTCAGGGGAGCACCCAAGTTAGAGGTGTTAAACTCTGGAGGATTTCACTGGAACCTCGGTTCAACCGCAGTCATCCAAACATTGGGAGTGGACGGTAATAGCAAGAGAAAAGCACAAGTTCAGGAGAGCAAACCCAACCTGGCATACCCCTTCATCCCAATGGTGAAAACCTAGGACAAAGTCTTGGTTTGTCGAGCTGAAGTGTAGCTCCAAGCATTTGAAAAGCTCCGAGTTACACGGCCAAGAAAGCTATTAGGTTAACCATCACGGCTCGCTCATCCTCGAATGGGGATGTGAATGAAAGGCAACGTGATGCAAGTGCAACATTTCCTGAATCAGTCACCTTCAGTCCTTAAAACAACTTTCACAACATACCTCACTTGCTGTACCAGTATCCACCCTTATCATTTCTGGGATACAATTTCTCCCACATAAATATTCAGTTCAAAACTGCTTAATTATGGTATGCGACACTAAAACTTCAGCTCACAGATGGTTTGTCAGGTAAAATTTGTGGGATCTTCCAGTGCCACCGTTGTGAAAGGACGATATATTTAGAACGGACTAGAATTACATGAGGGCAAGTTGTGTGTCGGGAAAAGGGAGAGTGTGAGAAGGATTGCCAACAGGTTAAGATGTGCTTAATAAAAGTTTTTATTGTTTTTCTTTTATTTATTTGATTTTACTGGCAGTTCCACATATGCACCCCCCCATCATAAAACGGTCCACTCCCTTCAGACAAGTGGAGAGCCGGAACACCACACATTTCAGATTACAGTAAATTTTTGGTGTTTTGTGATTGATGTAAGAGCCGAGTGATTTCAGCTTACTGCTGAAATCACTCAGCTCCTAATCACATGCAGAGTACACTTGGAGGCGGAAACTTTTGTGGAGGCCAGGTAATCAAAAGGCACACTTTGCCACTGCAAATTTGATAACTGTAACAACCCAAAAAAAACAAACAAAGATGCTCTCAGTCTCACGGGAGAGATTTGTATCCTTACACGCTGCTCTTAATTATCAGCGTGACCACTACCACGTGCCAGCCACAGCATCGAAACACTCCACAGACCAACCAGAAAAGGCAATAGCCATGACAAGTTATATTACATCAGTGCAACATTTTCAAAATGCTTGCACCCTTCATTAACACGTAATAAACTCGGTAGCAGACTATTTGTATGTCGCAGAGGAACAGTGGCATGTGGTACTCAGGATGTCTAAAATATATATACAGGTGTTTTTGGAAACGCGGGCCAAATCGCTCCTGCAAAAACTATGCATTGCATAAGAAAAAAAAAAGGTTAATGCCGTAGTGGTCAGTGCCAAAGGGCTCATTAGAGGGATGCTGAACCGAAATTTGGATTTCGCAAAATAATGCTGCGGTGGCGTTGAACCGGATGCTACGAACTCCAAGACCTCACACTCATACATCAATATCTAAAACGGATGGCTGTAGTCTTTAAAAAGAAGGGTGCTATTAAGCGAGGAATGAGACGCCACGATCCTCCTGGAACAGTTGAGAATGAGGGGAAGAGGCCTCGCTCCTTTCCTCCCCGTTTCGGTTCACCAGCTCGACGAGACGAAGCGAGGAGGAAAGGGAATGAGAATCATGACATCATATGTCTTGTCAGCAGAGTTCGTTCAATCGCGCCTTTATTTTCCAAAAATATGGCCATTCATTAGAGATATTGCTGTACAAGTAGTGTTTTTGGGTTCTACAGCATTCTACCTATCGCTCCAGCCCTGTTTTGTGAGCTCGGAATTTCAGTTCAGTATCCCTTTAAAACGACCCTGCAACAACTTTTTGCTGTTTTCTTTTTTTTAATTTGCACCAAACCTGTGCGCACTGAAAGTAGTACACCTTAGTGAACTTTTTCTTTTCTCGAAATTCACTTAATTTTAAAAGTTATAGGTATATTAAAATTACAAAAACAAGCAAATACATAACCTCCTTCATGATGTCCTTGATCTTCTGTTCCCCTCTTTTCCCACACCTGCGGTGACTGAGGAATGTGGGGAGGAAGGGGAAGACGGGGAAAGGAGGTGAAGCCGAGGAGAGAGAGCTGTTCAAAAACTGAGCAGCTCTCTTTCCTCGACTGACCAGGGCCAAAAACGTCACGATTTCGTCACATGCCGCGCGTGTTCGACACTACGAGGCGCCCCCGTAGGAGGAGAAGGTTTCCGTGTAGTTCTTTTGTCCATTTTGCTAGGTTCCGTGTAGTCTGGTTAAAATATGACGCACTGATATTTAGTTACTGTCTCCGTGGCCGCTGGGTTACCTGAACCACAAGAGACGTGGAAACCGCAAAAAAGGTAGACGCTTAGATAGTATTGCGGGGCCCCTTTAAGGAAAATTATTAGCATTCAGTATAATTGGGTAGTCTAAGGCAGTGACCCTGAAGTATAAGGTATAACTTTTTTTTTAGATATTGTGTGTAGTTTTATCAACATCACAGCTCAAAGTCTGGTTTTGGGCGTCTATGGCAAAACTGAAACTATCTGCTAGAAGGATGGCAACACTGATCATAAGCCATACCGCTGCGACGTGACGTCGCCGTGGTGCTGCAATATGCGGTAAAACCAATCAACGGCAGCTCCATTGCGATGTGACGTCACGGGGGTGCTGTGCCAGTGTTCCATGACTAAACGCTTGCCGCACGTTAAAGAGCAGCTGGTCACATCTTTAAAGGGGTCATGAAACGCTTTTCCTACTTTTTCCTGTTTAGCTTTCCTCCTCAACTCATAAATCGCCCATTCCACCAAACAGTTAAAGAAGACGAAAAGAAGGGAGGCCCCTCTCGCTCGGAATCTGGTTTGTGTAGCCGGACAGAGCCATTGTCCCCCTAGAAGATTAGCCCGTCGCTCAAAATTCAGACAAAAGTTGTTTTCCCCACCCCGTTCATCCCGAAGCTGACAGTGCTGTTGAAGCTACGTGCTCGTTGGGCCAGCCACACTTGCCACGTGAGCGTGGCAAGTGTGGCTGGCCCAACGCCACGCCTTTATGCCAAAAAATGTAACGGAGAAAAACGCATTCAAAATGCTCGAACCTCTAGCTTCTCTTTAGCATCGCTGGACTGAAAATAATTTATAAAAAATAACTAGACAGTATAAACAAAGGAAACTTTCTGAGAATACTCTTTAGATGTTGGTGGATGTAAATGTGGCATTTTTCAAAATCAACTTTTTTGGGAGAAACTTTTTTCGGTGTAGTGTCCCCTTTAAAATTGGTTTTAGTGGAGTATGCGGCTTCACTTTGTTGCACTATTTGGCTGTGATCATATTTCGTGCCACTAAAGCGATACCAGCCATTTATTTCGGTTTCTATTTCGACTGGAGTTGCCCTTTAACTTTATAAGTACAGTTTCAATTACAAACTTGATGCGAATCGTCCAAAACTACGAAGTCCACCCATATTACAATGATATAAGGCATGAGCAGCATTTTATAGCATTTCGAAAAATTGCTCAATTTGACGCATTTCTAGGTTTCGGTTTCTTATCAGAGCGCATCCCAGCGCCAGCGATCCCGCCTCCCGTGGCCAAAACAAGCAAAAGCAATGCGTGTGCGCTGTCAAGCATCGCATGAAAGGTGCGTCTTCACGCTGGCAGCTATGTTAAAAAAGCAAACCTAATGTAGCAGTTTGGAGGCTTCCTCATCTAGCCTCTTCTAGGTGCAATGAAGGGCGGTGCACTTATGTTCCATGTTTTGGCCACGGGAAGTGGGATTGCTGGCACGGAGAAGCACTCCAAAGAAAAACAGATACCTTAAAATGCGTCCAAATTTAGCATTTTGTTTTTGAAAGCCTCAAAATTCTGTTTGTGCCTTATATCATTGTAATGTGGGTGGCCAGCCAGTTTTTAATTAAGCCACGCCTTTAAAATTCACATTTAAAAATTTAGTTACTGAAAAGCAATTAATTACTCAATTATACTAAATGCCAATTTTCCTTAATGGTCCCTTTGGCACAGAGAGTGATGGAAGTGGCATTTGATCCCTTGTAGCAGGATTTATAGCAGGAAAGATGCAGGTTTGGAGTAGCCACCGACTCCTTTGGAGCAGATGCCAACACCCACAACCTCCACTCGGCTCTGGACCGTGGATCTCAGACTGACTGCATCTTTCTGGACTTTGCAAAAGCTTTCGATAAGGTAACGCATAAACTACTACTATACAGACTTAGCCTACTCAGTATTGATCCATATATCTTATCTTGGTTAGAGTGTTTCCTCACTAACAGATCGCAATTTGTAACTGTCAATAACAAAAACTCGTCATCGTCCCTCGTTGAGTCCGGTGTACCACAAGGTTCTGTCCTAGGCCCCCTCTTATTCTTAATATATATAAATGACCTACCTACTAGCATTTCCTCCTCCATAAGCGTATTTGCGGATGATTGCATTGTTTACCGTGAAATTACTAATGACTCTGACGTACACATAATTCAATCTGATTTAAATGCATTTCTTCCTGGTGCCATGCTTGGCACATGAAACTAAACATTATGAAATGTAAGACAATGAGGATTTCCTGCAAAGCAGCACTCTGTCCTAACTACTTCCTATCAAATAACCTCCTTGAAAACGTATCAACTTACAAATATCTAGGTGTTCATATCTCTTCTGACCTATCATGGAAAACTCACACCGAATATATCGTTAATAACAGTAACCGCATGCTTGGATATTTAAGACTTAACTTTTCTCTAGCTCCATCATCGTTAAAATTACTACTTTATAAAACACTGGTGCGACCAAAGCTTGAATATGCATGCTCGGTCTGGGATCCCGGTGCAGAAAGCCTCATATCAGCGCTTGAAGCCATCCAAAACCGGTCAGCACGTTTTATATTATTAAACTACCATCGTACATCAAGCGTCACATCCATGAAAGCTAGCCTCTCCCTGCCCTTTCTTTCCACTCGTCGCACTATCTCCCGTCTCTGTTTATTTCAGAATATTTACTATGCCAATTCACTCTTGAAAGAGCAACTAATCAGTGACCCCATCTACGTATCATCTCGCCTCGATCACTGCTGCAAAGTTGGTATACCCCCTTCCATATCAAATTCTTTTTTCAAATCTTTCATCCCAAAAACATCTCGTGAATGGAACGGCCTTCCCTCATCCATTGCGATTATTGGCGATTTTGTTCTCTTTAAAGAAGCACTAACAAGTTACTATTCATGATCTGTGCCGGACTAACCATTTTCAGCGTTTTCGTACTTCCGTTGCCCACCCTCTCTGTAATGCTTCGGCCCTGAAGGTATAATAAATAAATAAAAAAAAAAAAAATCTGTTACTATGTCATTCGAAAATAAAAATAATATAGCATCACTAAATGAGTTCATGATGAGTTCATATCTGATAATGATTGAGGGCTCCTTTCAGTACTGAAGCATATTACTCATTACCTTTTGTATTAAGAATTGACAGGACGCAAAAGGAGAGCATAGCCTTATTACAAATAAGGCTCACAAGAGAGTAGGTTCCCTTCCCAATGAGTGTTAAAAAATTGTTAAAGAATGATGCATAGTGCAACACTTTTGTTGAGATAAAGCCTCTCTCTCTCCCTCCCCCCTTTTATGGTCAGCAGTTAAATTAGCCTGTAAACATAATTCCTGTACAATGACGGTAAAAGTCAGCATATCAGCTAAAACATCTATCAATAAAAATATGTCCCCAAGTTTTACGAACACCGAATTCAAGATTCTAATATCGTAAACTGCAAAAACAACCACCTACAATTAATAATGTGTTAGCATTAGTACCTACATGACAGCGAAAGGCTGAAGTCGTCCATCTGCAGACAAAACAGTGCAAAAGGAAGTGCGCCACATAAAAGAGAGGAGACTAGTGAAGAACAAAGGCGAGAGGGAGGAGACGTCACAAGGCAGAAGCCAATGCGCGCGTGGGAAACCGGTGAACAGCGAAAGCAGCGTCAGGCAGCGGATGCCACTCCTTAAGTGTGCAAGGCGGGTGAACGAGACAGAGGAACGGAAGCAGTGCCTAGCTCGGCTGGTCGAAATGCAATGCAAAAAGCGGCAAGCCGACGCGGGTCTGCGTGCAACAGAGGCTTGGGCGAAGCAGGCTCGGCAAGCCCGCTTCATTGGTAAAAATTAAAGGAAGATCGATTGGTGGATCCTCAGGGAATGCGTTAGCATGACTCTTGGCAAACACCACACACGTCCCCCCTTTGGGAAAGGCTAACGCTGACCCAGTAACGAAGCCAAAAAGAGGCAGCAAGAAATAGAGGAAGCAAAAGAGAAAGCGAAAAGGGGAAAGTGAAAGAGTCAGCGTCAACATTTCCCAAGGGCCATGTTACTGCATCCCCTAAGGCTCCACCAATAGATCTTCCTTTAATTTTGTGAAAACACTTAGTTGTGTTTTAAAAGCGACACTGCGCTTTAGGGGCGTTTGAACCAGAGTCGAGTCAAAATTCGCTGCCCTTTCGATTAACAGCTGCATGGGAACTACCTTGACTACCATATTTATTCAAATATATAGCCGCGTCTTTTCTCCTTTCTCGGCACAGCTTTTTAATATTAGAGGTCAACCTACAGTCAAGACCAAATATGGTTGACCTGTTATAGTACTGAGCATTATTTCCAAGCCAATTGCACGAACCCATGTCCTCCCCATGTCAGCCGCTGCTCTTAGCACTCCAGTGCAAAGCGGTGAAGCTCGACGCGTGCATGCTGGTGTTAGGCCGTCAAGACTGACACAAGAGGCACAAGTGCCAAGGTACACTGCAGCTACAGCATGGAGGCATGTGTAGACAGGATAATCATGTGATATCATCAGGAGTAAAAGACCCTGGTTCTCTCTTACTGCAGTAGCTGCCATCCCACAATTTTGCCCATTTTTCTCGCGACTGTTGGCTCCCAACATTACCGACATAGACCGGAAATTCAAACGATGACGGGGCCAGTGCGATTGTCAGAGCGCAGGCAAGGCTACAAGCCAATGGGACCAATCAAACAGTGTCAAAAGCATAACATGGTATTCGTCATTTATCTGTATGTGCTCTTTCATTGGCTAAACCAATCAAGCTCAGCGAATGACCTTATATTTGCGCTTTAAGTATGTGTGTTCGTGACTATATTGTACCTTCGACTGTGCCCTGACCTAAGATGAAACAAGCGATACAGTGGGTAGAGATGTTGTGAAATACATATTTAACCAGTTTCGCTGCCTTCTACTTCTCTGAATTTTAAATTTGACAAAAAATAAAAAATTTTATTTTTTGCTTTGTTTGAGCTTACCTCAGCACAGGCGTCGCCATTTCTTAGCAAAAATGGCACTTTGGCGCGTATGGTGCAGCACTTTTATCACCGCACAGACCGCTATGGCATCAACCCTTTTTACGCTCGATGCATTGTTTTCACAAGAGCAATTTGGCCCACGTTTAGAAAAAACACACTGTACATAAACTGCTTTTCAGGATACTGTAAAACCCTTAATGTTCGTGAGCCCTCAATTTTCGCGAATTTCGCGAATTGAAGAATTTGCGAAATTTAAGGGCGCGCGAAAATTTCGGTCCTTAAGATTTTCAATGCAGGCGTCTGAAATTCACAAAATTTAGTGGTCGCGATTATGTTATCTGTGACCGATTCGCGAAAAATAGGGGCCGCGAAAATAAAGGGTTTTAAAGTACTTTATTTTTAGCAATTACAAAATAAAGATAAGCAAAATTAACTTTCTGCTGCATGCACAGCTGCAAGTCCTATGCTTAAACTCCACAGTGGTTTTTTCTTGCGCACCGAGTTCCCAACAGGAGACTGACATTAAAAAGGAAATTAAATCGAAACAAAAAGAGAAGTTTGAGCTCGGCATCCACTACGGCCTGCTAACGTAACGACATGGAAAGTGCGGCCGGCCACACTGACGCACCTGTTGTTCCAGATGCTCTTGAACAAGTCAAGGGACTCCCGAAGCCTGTTCTGGTTGGGGTCCTCACGGAGCACCATGTTGTAGCTGCTGCAGGCCGTCACAAAGATGATGGCCGTTACGTCGTTGAAGCACTGAATCCACTTGCGCCTCTCGTCCCTTTGGCCTCCCACGTCAAACATGCTGCGAGGGGAGCCTTTCATCACCACCACTTCCCCGCTCAATGGCAGCAATCACTGAGCATGGCATGTGAATACCCAACGCTCCATTATTTGAAAATGGGTTCTGGGCACACTCTGTGGCCATGCATCTTCTTGGTAGCTACATGCTAGAGAAAAAAGCCCATAAAAAGCACCACTGACCTTGCCACGGGCTTCTACAGGCACCAAAGTGTGCCTAAACCATCACATACACACGCATTTTGAAAACGCAACAGTGTTGTTGTTATTGGTTATTTTTAATTGATGCTATTTAAGAGTAAGATCACCAGCAGGAGTCTCATGCTGTCTTCTTAATAGATTTCGGCCAATTAAATACAAAGCTTATGTCTCTAGTCTACTTGAGAAATGGCTCATCTTGCTACGACTATTTGTACCACTCTGTAAAGTGCTATATTACATTTGTATTTTCAAATACTTTTTTGCCCATTTCAAATGTACTTTTATATATGTGGGTGGTTTCATCTCAAATCGGGCAGGCTAAAGAAGTCTAATTTTTAATTTCCACAAAAAAAAAAAAATGTTTTGGGGGAATTTCTCAAATGAAGGAGAGCGCAAACCGCATGATCCCCAGATTTTTTGTTCTCGAGTTACGAAGTGTAGAAGCCGCAGTGGCAGAAATTTTTGCCTGCCGCCGCAGGTCGCGTGTTTGACACCCTCTGCTGGCGCTAGTGTCTTTCCTACACCCTTTTAACTTTTTGCCCTAATTTAAAAGGTACTAAAAGATACCTTGACATATTCAAATATTTTAAGAATTTGATCGTTTTTGTTTTTTTTAAATGTCAAACTCATCACTCAGGTCAATTTTTGGTCAATTTTGACAGGTCATTACTTTGTCTGTACTATGGGTACATTTTCTTTCTGTAGCTCTATAGAAAGCCCTAAGCATGCCTAGTATAGATATAGTAATATCATTATGATCTGCTGAGTAGCCGCTCTGCTACCTTCATGTAAACACTGAGAAAAAAAAAATGTTCACACATTTCACGCGATTGCAGCTCAAATAAAGGACATACAACCAAAATATTACACTTCTAGATTGTTTTTTTCTTGTAGTCGACTAATATATCTAACAAAATCTAAAAAAGTAAAAATTTATAAAAATGGGGTTTTTGAGAAAATTGACCTCAAACTTAATTTTGTTATTTCTTACAATGTACTTTGTGAAGGTAGCGGAGCGGCTAAAGTCAAAAGATCATAATGATATTATTATATCTATAATGGGCTTGCTTTGGGCTTTCTGTAGAGCCAAAGAAAGAATATTTACCTTAAGTACAGACAAAGTAATGACCTGTCAAAGTTGACCAAAAAGCGACCCGAGTGACGATTTTGTCTTTTTTTTTTATAAAACGATCAAATTCCTAAAAATATTTTAATACATCAAGGTATCTTTTGTAATACCTATTAAATGAGGGGAAAAAGTTAAAAGGGTGTAGGAAAAACGCTAGCGCCAGCAGAGGGTGTCAAACATGCGACCTGCGACAGCAGGCAAAAACACGTTTCTGCCACTGCGGCATCAACGCTTCGTAACTCGAGAACAAAAAATCTGGGGAACGTGCGGTTTGCGCCCTCCTTCATTTGAGAAATGCCCCCAAAACATAATTTTTTTTCATGAAAATGAAAAATTAAACCCTTTTAGCCTGCCCGATTTGAGATAAAACCACCCACGAGTACTTGAATAAAATTTTGAAGCATATTGCTTCAAAATACTGACACTGAAATATATTCTTGCAAATTCTTTTAATATATTCCAATATCGGTGTTTCGGCAATCCTTGCTAAGCATTTCAGTATGGTACTTGTATTTAAAAATTAAAATACTTTTCCTGAATTTCTGTCAATCCCCACCTGAAATCAATTTTCGCCATGGAAGGCGTTATAGTAGGGAGAGGCACACTGTAAAATGCAGGCATACAAGGGCACAGAAATAAATTCCCAAACAAACAAACTCAAATTAGTGCAAATCGTATGAGAAGCTAACAGCTTCTAAGCATGAATGCTGCACCGGATAATCTACCTCAAACATCTCTTTGTATCAACACAAAACAAAACGAGATCTACAGACATATCAATACGCATAGAAGCGAGGAGAACTCACTGGAAGTTGACCTTGTCTACTTGAAATTTTGTCTCAAATATTCCCGAGGTTAATACACGGCATCGTAGGATGTCCTAAAAGAAGGAAAACATACAGCATGTTAATGGCTGGCCAAACATAACCAATACGCTTCTCAAAAGAACTGAAACAAAACATCACCTGCTCGTTCGGTGTATAGTCCAGCTGCTTAATGGTAGCCACTCTGTCAAGGAAACTGCGAGAAGAGAAGCAGCATTGCATTACCAGCTTCCCCTCACATCCTTCCAAGGCTATGCACTGCAAAACCCTCAAGCTGCACCTGGGTGCAGCATGCCCCACCAGCTCAAACAGTGTGCTCAAAACATGGCACACAATTTGGCTATGTCTACCAGTACACTTATAAGTAGGCTGTGCACTTTCCAGTTTTAACCAAAAAAAACACAGATAAACAATTGTTGGTGAAAAGATACAAAATCGATTCAAACCGAGAAACACTGGTCGTTGAACCCTTAGCAACGGCTATTTTCCTCAAACCTCTCCCCCCGTGGAGGTTTGTCAAACATGTTATCTTGTGGATCCTCATCCTTCCAGTGTCTATTCAGAGGTCGCTGTGGTTCTTGGAAAACACTGCCAGCATCAGTGTGGCCCAGGGCCACTAACCTTAGAGAATGCGTCTCTGTCTGGAGAACGGAAATGCATTCATTGTTTTCTGTTTAGTTTTCAAGGGCTTCTGGGTCCACGAGTTTGGTCTGACGTCACCCTGTCTTGGGTTCGCTGGATAGGGAGCTGACAGGTGCACTATTCACCGAATTCGGTGGGAGTTAATACCACGAGGGCGCCACAGTACTTGGTGCCCCAGTAGACTTCCGGTAGTGCATTTGTTCGTCGACTACGCACAGTAATCGGGTAAGAAGATTTTCCTCGGGAGAACTATATGTAATACGTTTGTAAGAACCTGCGTGCATTGTAGAACGTAGCACAAATAACAACAGGATGTGAAACAAAAGAAAAAGAGGAAAACCAGAAGCGCGCAAGGGTACGCCGATAGCTGGCAGCACCGAGCTTGTTTGACAACAAACATTGGTGAATATGTTCTGTCCACCTCGCAGTTGCAGAAAGTACCCTGAAAATCCTGCCACTTCCACAGTAAAACGCGGATTCCGTGCATCTTTGCTCAGTCTTGATAATAAAAACTGGCGATTCTGAGACTGAAAGTGCTGAGGCTACAAATAAAAGTCTTCAACATTTGACATGCCCATTGAGCGCCTTCAAAATAATGGACCTTAATTACTCCCGCTGTGGCAGCATTAATTCAAGTTGGCTAAGGGCGTACAGAGCCTCATTTTTTTTTTTTTTTTCATTGATAATCACCATTTTTGGCCTTGCTACGAGTTGTCCCATCAAAATACAGAGGTTTAAAAAAATATACATCAAGAAACATCCACAGATTTTTCTCATTAATAAACACTGGAAATACACACCCCACTTATAAGGCAAAATGTTCAAAGTCTGCAAAGAAAACCGGCACTTTGCATGCAAACAGCCAATTCCTTCAGACAAACGTGACACAATTAAGCAGACTCCCTCATTGTGGCAACATCCCGACACCTATACCTCTGGCCAAAGCGAACTCTTCAAATCGTTCACTTCAGCCATATCGTCGACCCTTGTAAGCTGCGCAAGTTGCTACTTTTACTATACTAGTTGGTGACAGGTTAAAAGTTCAGGGGAAACTCCTCCCACCTCTTTCCACTTTAGCAGAGCGAATTGGGGCTCACACAATTTTTTTTTTAAGAAAAATTCAAGGACCTTTTAAAGATTTCAAGGGCATGAGAGGACCAAATTCAAGGCAACACTGAGCAAAAATGACGATGACACAGAATGCCTTGCATGAGTTTGGATTAAAGCACCCTTTAAAGGGGCACTACAACGAAATGTCGGCACTTATTTCTTGGTCTATATGTGCCCCAGGGAGCAGTATAACATCGGACACCCCAATCTCTTGTTGAAAGACACGAAAAGGAATTTTAAAACAGATTAAACGATTAGCGAATGGCACCTGGTGGATGTCGCTGAAGTCTCATTTGTAATGCCTGTCTAGGAACATTGACAGGTAGTGACGATGCCTGTCTTGCCTAGAACAATACATGCCTTGCACCTGACGTCAACCTGTCAGCTCTCCGGCCACCACCAGAGAAGAGGGAAAGGAGGAACTCCCCTCTCACCAGGACCCTCTTTTGTGTGCCCCAGACTTGCCCAGACATCGCTATTCTCTCTCTACAAGATTATAGAAGATTAACCCGTCACTTAAAATCATCCTGTCGACGTCAGCCTCCCCGCAGCTTTGCTCGACCCGAGGTAGGCTACGTCACGATTGCGCTGGATGTCACGTGCTCTCCGCCGGCTGCTCTCCTAGTGCTTGCCAGAGTGGGTCCGTTTATAACAAAAAAAATACAGCCCATCAGGTTTAAAATACAAACGTGCGATTGTTATTTCTGGATACTGTGGATAATATTCAGCCCATTTCTGAACACGACGGGGTGCATTTCAAATTTTGTTGAAGTGTCCCTTTAAAGGGGCGATGCAACGATTTTTGTATTTTGCGGAAATACCGCTTAGAACGGATCCCCAACGTTAATGACCTGCGTAATACCCGTTCGTTTTTCACCATACGCAAACGAAGTCGCAGAAAAAAACAAAGAAAAACGAGCAGAGTTCACTCCCTCAACTCGTACCCAGAACAAGCGGCCACGTGATCTGGAGCCGATTATATGCCGCCAATGTTGATCATAACCATGCGCTGGGGTTGGCAAGGCACAGGACACGCGCTGAGTTCCAGACATTGTTATGATTCGGCTGTTGTCATTGCAGCGATTGGACACAGGACACTACCCAAATTATCACGAGCCCAAATCGAGTGCCCACGCAATGCTCGGGTCCAATCTATGTGCCGCATTCAAATATCGTCACTGGGTGGTACTGCTACCGCCTAGCTACGTCATCAGGTTTTGCGAAGGAAAGATTGAATGAAAGCGCTCAGTTTTGTCCTCAAAATTACAGTGCAACAAAGAAGTTTCTTGGTCAGTGGCATTGCGTGCGAGCATCCTTGACTCCCACTAGTGCCAGTAAGCTAGTGTAAAGTGAAAAACAGTCCAATTGAATATCGTTGCACCACCCCTTTAAAACGGGTGCATGATGCATGACACAATTATGACAATTTACGCGAGTGTTGGCGGCTTTGCGACAAAAACTGTGAGATGCAATCCTAGTCTAATTAAAATTGTCAGATATGCATTCTGTGCACAAAGCAGGCACATTTAAGAGAAAAAAATCTATTTCTCCAGTGGGCCAAAGTCCGATGGCAATGCATCTAGCGGAACAAAAAGTATGCATCTCTGTCGGCTGTTAGTGCAACAGGGCAAGCGCTTTTCTCCCGCAATTTTCTTGCACACTACTAAATGTATCACCACAGCTCAGAAGAGTCAAGAGAAGCGAGTGAACCTCTCAAACCGCTATGATTTGCAAAAAAACATGTCATTATTTCTGGATGTTCAAGGAATACAAGGAACATCGCAAGTTTCAACGAGATTATAGAGCCCTTGAAAGGCTTTTATCAAAATCCCAGGTATTCAAGGACTTGAAGGAGCTGTACGAACCCTGCGAATGCTGGAGAGGAAGTCGTTCCTCTGCAGCGTTCATTCTGCGAAAGTGGAACGGGGTGGGAGGAGTTTCCTCTGAACTCTCAACTTGACACCGACTATAGAGCCCTTCAATATGCTTTTGGTTACGAAACTTCTCCGGAACGTTATGGGAGAGCTTTGTTGGTGACCGCGAGGTGGTGTTGGCATCTTCTACAAGGGGGCAGAGAGTCACCAAACTAGCCACCACCGCTAGGAGCCTGGCAACTAGGATGCGCTATCAGAATTTCGGACCCACTCTAAATAAGCCACACTGAGATCACAGTAACATGTCACTGCACAGAATGTTTTTGCATCTTTGGCTCTGTACACTCAACCAACTGCCTAAACTTTCACGTCTGCAGAGGTTCATATTCGTCCGGCTACAACGCCCTGGCGTCGTGCCCTGGCGTCGTAGTTGGACGAATATGAACTACCAGACTTTTTGGCTAGGACTCTAAGCATACAAAAAGGAAACACACAGGCAGTTTACGGGCTGCCTATTTGCGTGCACTATTGATTCCGAAACTTTACAAACCGTGGCGCCACGCGCGCGCTGTCGAGACACTTCTTTTGTTTTTAGAATCATGACCACACTACTCTTTGCAGAGAGGAGGAGGTTTCTTCTACTTTCTTGTGACTTGTACGTTTGAGGGTTCCTTTGCCCGGAGAAAGTTTTCCGCTCTTTCCCTGCCAATGTACTAGCTTTCTCGGGACGATTGATACCCTGCATTCTTTACTTCTTCTATAGATAGCATTTTTGACGAGATGGAACGCACTAACTGAAGCAATCTTCAATGAGAATCAGATCTTTCTCAGGATCCCTATCGTTTCTTCGAAACGCGTTTTGTGGAAATAAGTTTCGTGGACAACCTTTCATGGACATACATTTCATGGACACCCAGTTCGTCGACCCTGTACGTTTTGGGGGCACATGCCCCTGCGACGTTTTGTCAACAACGCATTTCTTCACTAAGCTGCTAAAAGCTAGCGCGATTCACTAAGGCGTGCTTAACCAAACCATGCCCCCCTTCCTCCTGTAATCCAGGCGAGACACAAAAAGTTTGTTACGAAAATAGCAGGGTTGTGTGCGACAAAACGCCTTAGGTTTTTCGATAAAACGAACACGAGAAGCCTTTCGATCAAACGTCGCATGTCGACGAAACAATCTGTAGATGAAACGTCAGTCGACCAACTGAATGCCACCGGGCAAAAATAAAGATTCGGATCCGCGGGTACCCGCATCTGCAGCCCCTGACATCCGCATCCGATCCGCAATCCGCCAAAATTTGTCTAATTTTTATCCGCATCCGCCAGTTTACTACGGATATCCGCAGATATGCAGGGCTCTACCCATGGTGTAGACTGCTCGCCTTCATAACCCTCAAACCACACGTCTGGAGTTTAAACATTAGTCACATCTTGCCAGTTTGATAGCTGTCCCCCAATATGAAACCTTGTTTTCTCCTTTACAGAAGACATTTCTCAAAATGACCAATATCCAGGCAAGAGATTGGAAAAGCATAAAGCAATTTCAAGTAAATTTTGCACGAAGCATAAATTGCATCTTAAAGTAGGTGTGCAGAAATAAATGTGGACACGCCTAACAAGCATAACCAATTACTGCAAACGACTTATTTTTCGCGGGCTCAATATTTTGCGATTTAGGTCAAAGCTGAAGTTTTAGAATAATTTCACGGTTTCTGATTTTCGCGACGCGGTGAGATCTCAATATAGATTCCAATGTGTTTACATCTTACCGGAATTGTTCGCGGGACCTATTTTTCGCGAATTGTAAGCGATGCGCGAGGTCCTCGCGAAAATTAAGTTGTTTAGAGTAATTCATCTGCTTTTTGTATGTCAAAGCTTTGGGCAGTTTTCTGTGCCAAACCAAAAAAGGACATCTGGCAAGTCCAGCAGGGGACTGAGGATTACTTTCGACCACAAGGTTCTTTTGACGTGCAACCAAAATCTGGGTTACCACGGCGCCTCCTCTGCAATAAACCTCCATCAAATTGCGGGCACCTAAGCTGGGATTTGAACCTGGCACCTGCGCTTTGGTAGGCCAGCGCTTTGGCTCGGAGTCCTTTATCTGTTTTTATATATGTATATATACTATTAAAATATCAACAACCCTTACACTTAAAAGGTGCCAGCCAATATAAGCAGACATTAATGTATGCTAGCTTTGATGATACCCAAGTGCAGAAGATTGCTAAAAGTTGTGCATGCTAAGCAGCGCTTATAATGTTGGCAGCATGCAACTTTTACACATTTAACTATCAGTTATATCAGTAATACAGTATTAAAACACTAGAGAAACTCAAACTCTGAAAAAAATATGCTCAAACTGTAAATTTCGACAGTAAAAAACCTAAGTACTGTGGACACTCTGTAAGACAATGGTGACATGCAAACAGCAATTCGGTAGCCCAGACACCTCATTTCCCAAGGAGTGTAAACAGGGTTCCAAGATAGGTATGGCATCAGACAGGAAGTTGCATGCAAGTGGTCATTTGACAATATTCCTCTGTTGTCCAGCACGTTTCTCCAGATTAGCAATTGGTCTGAACACCAAAATACACAGCTCATAGCACCACTGAGACTATATGAAGGATTTGGCAGGCTTCAAGGGGAAACATTCTAGTGGAACTCGAGCCACTAAGGTGTTTGCAACATTCAAAGGACCCAAATAACTTGACCCTTTTTATCTGTTTGCACCTAAAAACAGGTCAACATTAAATGCAAAGAAAGAGGCTTACTATTTAGCACAGTCAATTAGCTGATACTCGTTTGAGCGTTCAAATGCAGCTTGGACGCCCTTGTCCTTCCAGAGGATCTCCGTGTGCTCGTAGAACTCCTGCAAGATCCAAATGACATGTGTTGCTAATGCACCCAGTCAAGGAAGGCTGCAACACTGTAAACCAAAAATATGCGAATGTCCTCGCAAGAGCGAGTCAACTCAGAAAGTACAAGGGCAAAATCGTCACTAACAAAAACTGTACCAGCTAGTGTGCAACAACAGGGTACTACTTTAAAAACAGCAGCTTCATAAAAATGGGCTCGTGCCTCAAGCAATAAAATCAAGGTAAGGCATTGATTGAGCTGTGGGGAGACGATAGCCCAGACATCGTAACCTCGGAGGGTGGAGGCAAAAATGAGCAAGGCAACATTCATGATGTCTTGTTAGGGAGGCTCTAGTGAGGGTGGGCGCAACTCAAAACCTGGAGAGCGTTTGCAATTTAATGGCGGCGCCTGAGGGAGAGGATTCCAGAAAGGATATGCGCCAGTGTTGCCTGCACGAGAGTAGGCGCCCGCTCTGTTGCAACTCTGTTGCTCCAAGCGCCTTTCCTCCTCTCGCCTCCCATTGCAAGCAACGAGCGCCTTGGCGCAGCCTCTCTCGCTTCCTTCTCGCTCCGAGAGTTGCAAAGGTCGAGAGGAGAAAGCAGGGTTGCCAGACAAGCAGCAACGTCCAAGATGGTGGAATTTACCATTTTTCGCATTAAAAAAATACTTAACCTATTGCAACAAAACAGGTGGCTATGGAAAAGTAATCCTTTATACCTTGTTCCAAGCACCTTAATGGGCTGTTATGACCTGAGTTAGGAAAGAAAACGACTCTTTGCCCCATAGACTCCCAGCAAAATTTAGCAATTAAATGGCGTCCATGTCCCGTGATCGTCGATCTAGCATTTGCACCGACCCTCACTTGGGCCTCCCTATGTCTTGTCCTTCTGTTTGTATCAGCCCAAAATCTGTGTCCAAAGATGTAATGTGATAGAATGTAGTTAGTAAACTGATTCAAGTAATGATAAACTAAATGCAGACACCTGGTTGTTACATGTGGCCTCTGAATTGGGATGATTTTTGCTTACTATTACGCTGAACAAGAACCACAAGCAGGAGGGAACTTGGTATTCCTACTGCTTGTGATGCACAATGTGTGCAGAGGTTGCAAGCCTGTTTCTAGAAAGATTATGACACCATGACTACTCTGTTAGAGGGCCTATGGATTGGATCTTCAGTATTTGCAAGACCCACCAGAATGTCTAATAAACAAAGTGTTTGCCGTGTGAGCTATATCGGTCAATAGGCTGCACTCGCTAGGAAATTAACACGCAGACCTGAAGCTTTCTCGTTGCCCGCAGTTAACGGCTTTTCACAAAAAGGAACGGCTGCCGAGGTTATTCAGTCGTTGCAAGTAGAAGCCAGTGAAAGACAACTACCAGACAAAAATAACAGTGATGAAACATGATGTGCATTGCTAAAGTATTGACTAATTCTCTTAAAGTCTGGTAATATTTACATCATAGAAATTATATATGTTTGTAAAAACTCGTTTTGCTTATGCGAACGCTTTCATCTTATACAACCTAGCCTAAACCAGAAACCCCAAAAAACTGAATGCCTGGACTGAAGTAAAGATCAGAAAATACCCCCAGATTTCTCCTGAAGATAAACTTGGAAAATAAAAAACTCCACAATTGGACCACTAACTTATTCTGTAAGAGAACAAAAAAAGAAAAAGGCACCGTTTATTTTTTTTATTTTTACACTAAAAATTCCTTTAGCATGTGTGCAGTGAGCATGCTTCCATGGTACACATGCCCCCTTAGTGGCACTGGTATGGCAACGGCGTTAAGGCCCGTTCACACTCTTGCGACCTCTTAAACCTAGGTTCCTTACAACTTCTTAAACCAGAAAACACACTGGCGCCATCTATTGGGAAGTAGTGTAAACTCGGCGGTCCGGCATATTTTTTTTTATTTCTCGCGCATTATCCTTTCTTTCTTGGCTCGAAAAACTTTTGTCAATGTTATAAACGAGCCTTTCTATGGGTATTACGCACATTTGACCTCGGAAATCCCGCAAAACCTTCGCTCTTGTGAAATGCAGTTCCAGGGTCACCGCATAGATGGCGCCACAATGCCAGTTTCTTCCCTTATTTTAAAAACATTTAACAAGTTTTAAGAGAACTCGTCTCTCTCAGTCGTACTCGGTTGCAAGAGTGTGAACGGGCCTTAAAGGGGCACTGACACCCCAAAGGTCGTATTTATTTTTATTGTCTAAAACGATGCAAGTTGTAGTCATAGACACGCAAAAAAAACCGCATCGCGAAAAAAAATTTTCCCGCGCGCGCGCGCGCCTTTTTATTTTTGGCGTTTGATTTTCCCGCCTCTCGCCTCCTCGCTTCTTTTGATCGGTGACGTCAAAAATCAGGAAATTTAGAAGCTTTGTAGGCGACATCTCTATAACATTTCATTACGGCAATCCTAAAACATGTTTTTTAACGCAATTGCGAACGCACTACGGCCCTTCTTTTTGAAATACCAAAAATCGGGAGTTCGTTGTGGTGCCGTCTCCTGGATTTGTATCCTCCAACGGAAAACAGGCGACACCGCTCAAAACCGGTCCTCCGGAACGCCACCGCTCGCTCCTTTCCTCCTCGCTTTGGGTCGCCATGGCAACAGGAGGGAGTGGTGAAAGGAAGATGACTCTCAGGTCTCCTCAATTTTTGACGTCAAGGCACCGGCGCCGATCGCGCGGGAACTTCGAATTCGGCATTTGGAAATTCTTTTTTTACTTCACGAATACTGAATTCCCAAATCTCAAATTTTGAGGGTAATGTCCCGGCATCGTTTTCAATCGTTTCGGATAATAAAAAAAAAATATGATTTTGATGTGTCAGTGCCCCTTTAAGTCTCGTGCTCAGAGAGCTAATTTGCCTCCCCATGATGCTACCACATGCATGATAAAATGAATGCCAATGCAGTGGAACTTTCGGCACGCTTACAGGTGACTGTAAAAAAATACTCATAACAGGAGGACAGGTTTGACTTAGTTCAGCGCAACCGAAACTAATGAAAGAGAACAATTGAAAAGAGTGTATATAGCATGGCCAAAAATATTGAAAGCTATCTTTTTTTTTTTTTTTTTACTTAGGTGCTGCTACACCTATCCTGTCATTTGCAAACATGGTGGGCTTATAAACAAGCTTACTCTTCACTAACAAGCAGAAGGCACGAGCGTGGGTCACAGCATACACTGTAGCTTTGCTGTTGCAAGAAGGCAATGACTATTTCAACGTCCACCATCAAAATAAACTTGAACATTATTTTCATGTCCATGACGTCCATTCCCTAAGACATGCTTGCCAAAATAGTTGCATAATAATTTTGACATTCCTTGTCAAAAGAGTTTTGACAATGCTGACCAATAACGTAGCCAAGAATTTTTTTTTTTCTTTTTAAGGCGGGCGGGGGGGGGGGATGAGGCGGCTTAGTCAAATTTGGGTGTTTTACATGCCAAATCAATAAAGGACATCTAGCACACCGCAGCAAAGGACTGGGGATTAAAGGGGCCATGAAATGATTTTTCAACTTTTTCCTACTTAGCTTTCTTCCTCAACTCACAAATCGCACAGGGTACCAGAGTTCAAGAAGAGGGAAAGAAGGAACTCCCCTCTTGCTCGGATTCTCGTTTGTGTACCCGGACATCGCCATTCTACCCCTAGAAGATTAGCCCAGCGCTCAAAATATGGATAAAAGTTGCTTTCCTCACCCTGTTCACCCCTAAGCTGACAGTGCGGTGGAGGCTATGTGCTCGTTGGGCCAGCCACACTTCTATTTTTTGCCACGTGATCACGCTCCCTCACGCATACAAACGTGCAGAGAATGGGGTTAGGTGATGAAAGGGAGGCGGATAATCGGTCCGGCAAGTGTGTAGCTCCCACCATACTGTCAGCTTAGGGGCGAAGGGAACATATTGAGGTCGGGCGTCATGTGACATGCTTTTGGTACCAGATGTATCACAGCGAAAAGGCAGAGAGCTTTCAAAGGGAAGGAGGTACGAAATAGTCCGCAATGTTTTCAAATTTTCGTACCGAAAAACAGGCTTTTGACTTTCTACCTTCTATCTTTTGGCCCACTAAACGATATGCTATTAGTAAAATCCCAACCTAAATTCATTTATCCTAGCCCAAAATTTGTTTCATGACCCCTTTAATGTTGACCACCTGGGGATCTTTTGATGTGCAAACTGAATCTCGGTTACACGACGCCTTCTCTGCACCAAGTCTCCATCAGACTGCGGACACCTGGGGACCTGTAAGCCGGCGCTGTGCCTCAGAGCCACCGAGGTGACTTTCGGAGGTGACAGCGCGACCAGAAGAATTGACAGTGAGAACGATTGCCCAGTGGCAATGTTGGGCTCCGCTTCGAACAGGCAACATATTTTCAGCAGGCAATCTCGCATAAATTTTACAGAACAGATCCCACAACACAGTCGACCTGAATATATCTATCTTGTTTGTACATAACTATAAGTGCCTATACATTACATTCCGTGGAGAGTTCAGAATGGCTTTTCTGCCTCCACTTTTATGTGAGCGCTTCTTTGCATGGTTTGGATACAAAGTCTCACTTTGCATCTGGCCCCGACAGTTTTTTTTTTTTTTTTTACTGTATATGATTAGTGTGGGGTGGCTACTAAACAATGGGGACATCAAATACAGTGTGAATACAAACATAGCCTCCTTGATGTTTTTTGGCCAGTGCAGACGAACAAGGTAAAAGGTTAGGAATGCAATTCGGGAAATATCAAAATATTGCGGCAACTATTTTGACAGGGCACGTCAAAATACTCTTAACAAACATTTTTGTGTCTTCAAGAAAGATGTCATGGACGTGAAAATAACACAGAAAATTATTTTAATGGCGGGCGTTGAAATAGTGACTGCCTTCCAAAAACCAACCACTGTGCTCGTGCCGACCGCTTGTAAACACAGCACGCTCATCTATATGCAGAAACCTCTGGCGGCTGCACCGAGAAGGAAACGACGACTCACGGCAGGGTAGTCGAAGTCCGGGGAGCTGGCTACATCCTGGATGTAGTCCACCCTCCACTGATTTTCGGACTTCTGTAGTTGAACTGGAGGAACCAGCGTACTCATGGCACCTGTGATAGTCTGACCCCACCCACCGCCAACGGCAATAGTTACCGATTCGCTCACTGGATGGCAGCCGAATGCACCTTTCGGCACACATCAAGGAAACGAAAAACATGGGACACTCACCAGGATGGCATCTCGTATGTTCTTTTTGATATCTTCTATTTTTTGTTTCTTCTCTCTGCAAGATAAAATTCAAATGTGATGAAGCCTGCAAGGTACCAGTGGTATCAACCAATTGGTAACAATAGGACATCAGGGTCCCGCACCACTTACAAATCGATGTGCACTGCACAAGTATATATTGTGCCACTTGCAGCTTTGGGCAAGTGAAAGAACTTTTGGATAGGACTATAATTTACTAAACCACTCGCTAGTCAAAAGTGCATTCAGTGAGACAGCTGGAAGCAACAAACTGCAAAATCTATTTCATGAACACAAATCAATAAACTTTATGCTTGTTTTAGTCCCCAAAAAACTTTCTATCCTTGATCTGTGTCTGCCTCACACACTGAGGATAACTCCTGGAAACAGCTTGCACATAATGTAGTCGGTGAACAAGAAAACCTCCAAGACAGGCAGGGTTCTCCCTAGGAATTCTTGAGATCAAGACATCTGACAATTTTCAGTGCGCTGAGGGGAGGAGGAGGGGTCGATTACTGCAACTTTTGTTGTTCTTTGCACTCTCTGCCGCACAGCAGTAACTTCGTTTGCAGCGGTTATGCAGTTCTGTTCTGTAGTGCCACACAAGTCTGCCAAACACAACAATCTGGGGAGTCGTGCATTTCTGAAATCGGGATAGTTTTGTTCAGCAGAGGCAAAATACTGAAGTGGGTTGGACATAGTAGGGGTGGACAGATAGCCAAAGTCTTGGGCGGAAAAACCACCGCAGCCTACTGTGGGGAGAACCCAGATGACAGGGCTTTACAACTAAAATAGAGTGCAGGCCAAACCAAATTTTATTAGAACCTTGTGGGCCACCAAAGTTTTTGTTGTCAACAGTCCGACAATGTCCAGAATCATCAGGGCTAGTCTCTGTTTTGATAACACATTGCAGAATGTCATATCTACCGATGAATGCTATAAAATGGTTCTCCATTTTCTAATAAATTAAAAAAAAGAGGCATAAGCACTCAAAAGAAAGTGCCTTGTGATTCGGATGTATCCGAGAAATTCTGTATTTGGGAGGTGACCTATCGGGAGGGCTCGGGCGTATTCAATGTTTTCCTTCTGCAATGAAACTCTCATGGCTTTTGTGGGGCTAACTAAAGTAAAGTAAAAGCTATATTCTGGACAATCACTCGGGGCAAAAGATTTTCCATTTTGTGGGGTAGAGCGAGTAGCATTCCCACCCCTTATGATGACCCATTTTTCTGCAAGTTTTGCAAGTTGCAAAATGACCAGACAAGTAAAAACAATTGCTTCAGTTTGGAAGATAAAACTTTATGATTATCTAATGTTTGTATCAGCTCAAGTATAACTTGCCCTTGGTACTACGAAACCACACTTCCAGCATGTTGTGACCAACAGAAACCCACTGAAGCTATTCTTTTTGTGTAGGTATTATATGTTTGTGAATGACTTTATGGCGTGTGATGATGCAAGTATAAAAAAGCGCCTAAAGGAGAAGCTGTTGGCAATCTACATCCACGGGAACTTCCAGCCAAATGAGAGGACAAACAATCCCCACCATAGCATCGCTCCTTGTAATGTTCATGAAATATTTCATGATTAGTTCTCCAGGTGGTTAGCTAAAAAACCGGTGGTTAGCTAAAGGACACTGGCAACTGAGTAGGACTGGCTGAGATGAGACCGGTTTTTAAGCCTCTTGCGACGGCGTAAGAACAAATGCGCTGCTGCGGAGCAGGTCCTAAGCAGTCGCAAGACGCTTAAAAACCGGTCTCGTCTCAGACGGTCCTACTCGGTTGCAAGTGTGTGAATGAGCCTTCAGCAAGAGATTTGCTGAACATTTCTTATTACTCCTGTAAGATGACCAATCCCCTCTTATATGTTGAATAGACCAACATAAGGACCTCGCTAAATCCCCAACTTCGTGATTTTGGTAGAGCTTCATTGTCCCAAAAATTTTTACATCGACAGTCTCAGAAGGCCTGCTGAAAGTGAGCAACCAGAAGTCCCTAGGGAGCCAAGAGACGGCCTGTTTGTAAACAGAAAAAGGGTCTACATGTTATCTTAAACCGATTTAGTTTGTTTTTTAACGAAATTGGGTTCGACGCTTTTTGGGCTAATTACCTCAAGTTTAAGTGGCATCACGGGCCGCAGAAAAACTACTGGCGGGCTGTATGCGGCCAGAGGGTCGCATGTTGTGCAGTCCTGCTCTATGAAAACTGCGACAAGACTGGCATAGCCAAAATTTAAAATTTGTCTTTTTTCGAGTTGTACCACAAGGGTGCTATGACAGAAAGTGCATAAAGACTTCCACTAAAGGGCACCTACCATGTCCTTCTCATAACATCAGGTCACGAGGCACAACATTTATTAATAATCCTATTTGCAGGTGCCAAATGTTTGTGTACTCGCAACTAATAAAATTAACGAGTTCAACACCTGAAAACTGGCATGGGACATGGGTTCAGCAACTGGTGCAAGGAGCAGATTTGGCAACAAGCATTGAAAATACAAGATGCTTTAGGAGGGGTCGATTTTCATCGAGTGGCACTGATGAAGCAAAACCTCCAGCAAAAATGGTATCAAGCCTGCTCTCACAGGGATACAGCATCATTGTTGAACCCCATTGTAAAACTACATTGAACATGGAAAGAAATCCGTAATACACGCACATCAATTCAAAGATTAGATTCATGCAATATTGCTTTACAAATGATAGATAAAAAGACAGTCCTAAACATTTTTAAATTGACGTTTTTCACCCATGTGGCTTAATACAGTGAGTGACCAATTTTTTCCAAAAATTTTCAGATGAACGTTAGTTTCCAAAATAGCCTGTAAAAACTGACAAAAACCAGCGAAAGCGAAACATGCACAAAGAATCCAAGAGAATGTCATTGTGGTCTCTGGTGCAGGAAGACAGGAGATAAACATAGCAAAGGCACATTTCTTTTCTCTTTGTCAACTATGGATGGCACTGCCAGTGCAAAGAGGTTCACTATGGTTCACTATTTATACATTTGCAGGACAACAAACCACCTGTTTGGATTAGGTTTTGGTCAGTGTTACCTCGGAGCATGTTGCTACATGTTTCAATCACAAAATTACACCTTGAAATTCCTTTCAACCTTTTTAAAACATGGCAGCATTAAAAAAAAAAAAAATCCAGATTTTTTGTAGGTAATGGTACAGAAAATTTTTGGGGTGTTCTGAAGATTGGTTAACATTGATACGGTCCTGAGGTTAACACTCAAGAGGTTAAAATGCTTCCAAATATACTTACTCCTCGCTAAAACCATTGACGTGGAGTATTCTCATCTGTTTCACTATTGTACTCTTTCCAGATTCGCCAGCACCTGCAAGCCGAAATACACCAAAAGAAAAATTAGACAGGGTGCAAGTGCCTCTTGCAGAGATTATACTGAGGCACAGAGCCAGGATACGAGTTTCACTCCTTTCTATACGTAGGCTCCACCAATGCAGCCTCTTGATTATAAATTGTTAAAAATAATTTGAACTACCACATCCTTCAAATTTCTTGCATGTTTAAACCAGTGCCTATGCTATGGCAACATGAACACCCCAGCTTCCAGTTCTAAAATAAAAAAGGTAGGGCACTTTGGTTTATTTTAAAGGTAGTGAGCAATACTAGACATTACCCATGAAGATTCAACATAATTACAACCCTGCATTTACAGATACATCCAGAACATTTGGTGGACACTTGTCAGTCTGTTCACTAAATGTCCGAACAGTTTTTCCTATAAGCTGAATTTTTATGATTCTGATAGATAGAAAAAGAAATGTTTCTACAGGGTGACTCGTAGTTTTCTTCTCTTCCAAGGATTTTCCAGAGACTTTGTAAACTCCTTTCATTACACTTCTAGCTGGAATGCTTCACAAGAGAAAATCGAAGTACTGCATTAATCCATCAGTAATCACCTGACAAAATACAGTCACTAGCTATGGCGCCGTAGATGGAAATTAAGTTCCCCTTTGGGGAATTTCAAAAAACATCTGTAAATTCATAAAAAAAAAAGAAGAAAATGCTGGAAGAACCATGGGGGAGCTAGGTTAGGTGGCTGTCACATAAATGATGTCAAAAATAATGAAGCCCGGGTCTAATAAACACGCACAATTGTTTTTTCATTCAAACTCTTTTTCATTGGAAGCTTTGAAAATAGAAGTAAACATAGAAATATAACCTAAATTCTGTGCAAGCGTACAAACAAACTCTAAAAAATTCAAAATGACAAACAAAAATTCTAAATACTCAAGCATTCTCACAATCTAAAGTTTGAACTCCTATTCACACTCCTTTCTACACACATGACTTCTCAGCCAAGCTATCTAAACAACACATAAGCAGCACAACTGCTGTACGAGGGAAACCATCCCTGCAGGATGGCTCCAGCACTCAAAGCTAATGGGCCAGGCCGGGCCAATTCAGGTATCTTGGCAACTTCGCCAGCAGGCATATAGTGAGGTAACCAGCGGCCTGTCAAGTCTCAAGGTTTTCTTAAGTTTGCTTAGACACGGTCTAGAGGAAACCCTCATCAGCTTCCGGCATTCCTTTTGTCTTACCGAGACACGCATCAGCTCCCAATGCCGAGAAGCCACACAGCTCGAGAACTCTTAGGAAATCTGCTTCTTTCTCGTGGCAAAGGCTAAGGCAAACTAAGTGCCGCATTATTTTTCTTGCCTTTACACATGTCTTTGACTTTTGCTAGCCCAAGTTTAAATTAGAGGGCCCATGGAAATAACAACTAAAATGTTTCCCATTTCGTACATGGAAGGGGTCACAAATGTCTGGATTATACTACATTTACGAACCACAGAACAGGTACAATGGTGATTTTCTTCACTAGCCTAATGAAATGTAACTACCCCCAGTTCCGCATCAGAACACATATACAGCCGGGGACAAAAATGTGTGACAACGCATTCGCCTCGCTTGGTATCTTTTGGTGGCAACAAGAACGTCCATACGCCGAGGAGTTTGCTTTGTTCCATTAGACAAACAACACTGTTTGTCAACAAAATGTTTTTGTTTTGTTTTTACAGCAGTTGATAGTCAAGCGTAAGAAAGGTTACCATGTGGGGCATTTAATATGTCTGCGAGCAGTACCTGAATATTTGTCTCGTGGGACTAAGCCATGGTATTCATTTTAACAAACGGGTGCACACTTTTCATACAGCCACCCAGCTACACTAAAGCAAGCGACGAAGGGCACTCGTGTGTTTGGTTTCTATTGAGCATGACCATAACTGCAAAGCGAGAATGTAAACGGGTGCACACTTTTCATACAGTTACCCAGCTACACTAAAGCAAGCGACAAAGGGCACTCGTGTATTTGGTTTCTATTGAGCATGACCATAACTGCAGAGCGTGAATGTAAAATACACATGTTAACACAGCTTCAGAAATTTCAGACTATTCAAATTTTGAAGCTCTTGATAACATTTCAAAAGAGCCTGAACATCCTGGACAGAACACCAAAATCAAGCATGCTTTCACCTCCGGAGTTTGTCTTGTGTTGGTTGCTTAAAACATGCTGTCAAACCCAGAACCCATGTCCTTCACAAACCCATGTTCTTCACAGTGAGAATGCGTTAACAGATTGAGTGCAGAATCAATTCATGATTGAATCTGCATTCAATCAGTGAGCAAAAGGTTAAATATATAAAAAAAATGCATCACTTCAAACAATGATACAATTAATGGGAACAGAATAACTCACTTCACCAGAGAGGAAGTTCTAGTATAATAACAGTACGATGTCTGAATTGTGCTTGAAACAAGCACAATTCAGACACTGCACCAGAAGATGGCAATGACACTTCTTTTTGCAGTGGTTTTCAGCAAGTGCATCGACACACTGGGACATGGTCTAGTTGAACACTGTGTGATAAAAGATCAATATACCGGTAAAAAAAAAAGATACTGAATTCCTACACTAGCTTAAATGAGGTATGAATTTAGGCAGCAAGCACAGAAGCACTTGCGCGGCCAGATCAAAAATAGAAACAAGCTCCAACCGAACGCGCACCCCTGGTACGGTTCCCGACCAGAAGCGGAACTTTCAAAGGCGATCGTCACGGCGTTGTTGCACGTTCAAAAGACGTAGACAGGCTGAGCACAGCGCACATACACACGCCAGTGCACAGTAGAGACTATTTCGTTGCCGTTCGGAGCGCTCAACAGGGACTGCTCGGAGTGGTGCGGCCAGTTAGTCTAGCGTGCACACCACTCCAGATGGTCAACGGGGGTGCGCAACTGCGAAGTAAGCACCACTTGCGGAGTGATTAGCGTCGCATTTCGAGACCGACCGATCATTTCTATCGCCACACACAACTTCTGCCAACTTCCCGGGCTCAGATCGCCTCCTCGATAGCGGAGCCGAGCTCCGAGGCGCGAGCCCCGTCGTCGGGGCCGTCCAAAGACCAAGGGCAAACACAAGTGTCATCCGAAGAGCGTCGAGCACTTCCCAGCGGGTGGAAAAGACATGCGGTGGAGGAATTTCCGACGGGCAGTGAGGAAACGAGCACTTCAGGTTAGGCCTAGCAAAATGGGAAAACTCCCTGGGTCCGATATCGTATTCGGCTCGCTGAGGTACAGGTAGCCCGTGCAATTTACCTTGCACGAGCGCACAATTTTTGCCGAGGGGCCATCGTCCGAGTTCTTTCGAGCATTCGGGGCACGAGAGAACGAGAACGCCGGTCCCAGTGCTGCAATCGAGAGGATGACCCGTCCGAACCCCGGTTAAGGCAGTAGCGCCGGAGAGGGGCCCGTGCCGGCAGTGATATCCGAAAACCTTTTTTTTTTTTTTTTTTTTTTCTTGTTACCATCAACTGATTTCTAGTAGGAAACATAACGGTTCAGGGGAGCGTACAAACCTAGTAATAACAGCCGGTGTGTCGCCCTATAAATCTGTTTGTCCTTTTGAATCTGTTTCTCGATTTTCTTATTGGCCTCCTTCCGGCGTTTATCCTCTTCGGCGTCGCTTTTTGAGCTCGAGCCTCCAAAACAGCCCATGACATTAGGCCTAAGAACGTCTTGCACTCCGCCGTTGGTTCCAAAGATTACCGCACAGAGGGACGCAAACCGTCGCAGCAGAGTTATTCCAGGTACATCTCGGAGCAACTATCCATCGGGCCGGGTCCGCTCAGTCACCACCGAAAAAACTGCTGTCCATCTTCTAGCGTCACACGCATGGGTGTTATCCACCCTACCAAGTGGCTCGCGGAGGATGGGTGGGGGACTGCTGCCGCGCGCGGGGCATGCTGGGTAAGGCACGACCAACGGCACCACACGCCGCCACCGGCAGCGCCGAGGACGCCCGTCCGTCCCGCTGGTCCCGCCGCCGCCGCCGCGCCGGCCGCGCCAGCCGGCTACGCTGGCGCGACGCTAGCCGCGCTCAGCCGCGCTCTCCGCGTGCCTGGCCCAAACGACGTACGCTCACGCGCGGCCCGGAAAGACCGCCGGGGGAGGGCGTCTGCGGACACCGCGTCGGCTGGCGACGGAGGAAGCGAGATCGGAGATAATTCGCAGCTTGTATGACAACTAAATACAGTGAAAAGATCGAAGAAATGCGCGCGGAGTTGAAGGTTGTGGACGAGTTTGCAATCTTCCATTAACCTTATAAGGGAAGCTGTTTGACGCTAATTGTCAACTCGTATCTTTTTTTTTTTTAATAAGAAATGGCTCCCACTTAATTGAGGTTTGAAATCAGGGTGCATCCGATTTAAAGCCTAGGTCGTTTAGAACGCTTTAAAAACTTAACTCCAACTAGATGTGGCAGTGATTATGAACTGCAGCATCGAAACAAGTGACAATTTCGAATGTCGACATTGGACCAGTTCACTTTTTCCGCCGTACATACTGAAACTACGATACACGTAGCCTACTCCACAGCAGCTCTCAGAAACGAAACCTTCCTCGTCAATTCCTTGCACAAGGTCCATGTTCCCCAAGTCAAGCTAGCAATGATCCCACATCGAACACAGATTGTAAGAACTACGCTGGTCAGCTTCCAACCGACTACAAGTTTAACGGCAGTGACGTGCATGCTTGTCAGAGTAGAATTTCTAGTGTACACTACACCAACGCCGAGAATTTGTCGACTTTCCTACATCTCCATTGACCAGCACCTCCCAGGTGTTCCAAGTTTGGGAGTGGCATGAAACTGGAACCCATTGCAATAACATTATTTCACCTTGATATTGATGAGCATTGTTAGAGATCTTATGTATATTGTTGCATTCAAACCAAAAGAACTACCTTGCAGCTACACTTCCTGGGAAATATCAATAAGGTTGAATACAAAGTAAATAATGTAAATTCGCTTTATTAACAATATTTTTTTTTGTCACATCAATGAGGATTTGCCACATGTTCAAGAGCAGACTGTAGTAGACAGGGCTTCACACGAAAAGAGTGTGGGACACCACTAAAAGGTCGACCTCTCTGTGAAACCACAAGCATTAGCCAGCAAGGTTATTAACACAAAAGCAATATGAGCTGCTGAAAGATATCACAAAGCACAGGCAATGATAACTGATCAAAGCATCTTGAGTGTACCATTACTATTCTAACAAGTGTACAAAAATGCTAAACTACAAAGCTCAAAAAAGTGTGTCCACATAAAACATGATTTGCACATCTGAATACAGAAATGTAGGTAAACTAACAAAACCCTACAAAGGAATGTATGTCATATGTGCAAATAGTGGCATAAATATCTTATAATTTAGGCACTAAAAGTTTTGTATGGGATACTTAAAATCCATGTCCAAAGCTGTGTTGTAGGTACATTGCATAGGGACAATCGGTAGACATTTGTGTTTTCACTGACAACCAGTAGAGGGGCTTCAAATGCCTAACTGAAAGGGGACGAAAACTAGTTTGAGCAAACTAGGAGATGCAGCTTTCTTCAGACACTATCGCTCTTCGTCCTGCAGTATTTACTGTGTCTCAACACCACCATTGTTTTTTTTAAATACTTGTATAAATGTCCACTGGTTTTACCCATTACTGCCCATCACATTTTTAGGCAGCTATTCAAGATGCCTAAAATGAAGTCTTTAGTACCTGAGCATTCTCTATTTATATCTAAACAGCTCCAAATACAATGGTGGCTGCCCAAGATTAGGCTGCAACATCCAACAGACACATATTCAAATGATTTTGATCCCTACATGGGCTGCTTACATACAAAACTAAGCAGATGATCGATGGCACTAACACATTAAAAACGGCATATTTCTTGGACATCCGCCAAAATAAAAAATGGATTGATTGGTTATCATTTGAAGTACTGAACTTTGAACCTTATATTTGCGTTGCCATTATGTGCACATATTTAATATGGCATGACATTAAAAAAATGCAGAGGTAACGTCAAATACAAGCTCTCCAATTATATGAATGTATGCATAGCATCTTATGCTTCCATTGCAACTAGTGATTGCAATAGGATTGCATCGCCAGCAACACTGCAAAAGTTGTCGGCTATGCAGCCTAAAGATGTCATCACCAAAGAAATGTGCCTCTTACTGTTCGTTGACTGAGGTATCTGGTTTTTGATCTACACATTGGCACAAAGGAGGTGTATGCTTTCTTAACTGGCCGCCAAATAACTGAAACTTCCAATGAACCTAATGAAGCTGTCAAAGACACTTGACAGCACAACACAATTTCATCCCAAAATAAATCTAAAAAGCTTAAAATTCTGATTTGCAGTCCCATTTGGTTAGAACATAACTGGCAATAACCAAACACTCAGCAGATTGCAGAAAGGGAATATAAGGAGCAACAGAACCAGTTCTCATACATTGCAGGATGTGGAAAATTGTGCATCTCCAGAAAATATGGTATTAGTTCAGTTTTAAAATGTTGATGGAACATAGAGCCTTTAAGGAAAAAGAAAAAAAGTTTGTGGAAATGGACCATCAAAACAAAACAAAAATGGAAAACTTGAGAAAACTAACCTTCCCCCCACACTCGAAAGTGGTCAATACAAAACAAACAAATCAATTTTCTAGCATTATTTGGTTAAAGGGGTACCAAAACAAATTCCTGTAATGGTCTATGGTCATAACTGAATCTATGGGTTTTAAGCACGCTAAAAAACCAAATATCACATTCATGAATGGCCAATTTCTCTATAAAAATCGGTATCAAAGATTGATTACCTCAGAACTATCGCAGATATCAGACTGCACAGATGGACGAGGAGAAGCCCTTAGATGTATGGACATGGCTGAACCCTTTCAATCGCACAGGCGGCTTGTGGCACCTAGACAAAGCTTCTAAATCCAACAATTAACTAATCTCCGATTAAATTCTGATTTAATGGAGAAAGGCAAAGAATCTCATATCATTGCTAGGGAGAAGCATTCACCTACCGTTCTCCAGAACCGAAAGTTACAATCTATGCAACGGTGCCCTCTGGTGTCTGCAAGAGTTCCAAAGTAATCTATCTTCAATACCGATTTTAATAGCGAAATCGGCCACGCATGGATGCGTTTGGTTTTTAGGATGCTTAGAGTTCATAGATTGAGTTATGACCATAGACTATCACAGGAAGTGATCTAGTAGTCCCACTAAAAAGACAGTTTGTGTATGCTATACTTCCCCTCCTCTGATGTAGAACTTGCTTTCCAAATGTATCATGCACGGTAAGCTTGAACAGCAATGAAGTGCAATTTTATGAGCCAGAAGGCCAAATTAATAAAGCTGCTTCTCTGTCATATTAAAATATGACAGCTAAGCAGCAGATACTCAATTCATTTAGCAGCTGAATGCCACAAATAACCTACTTACCAGCAGAACTCGTCATTGTGAATTAATAAACAACTCTGTCATTTAAAGCACCAAATTCATATTGAACGCATAACAAATAAGACATACAGCACAATACAAGCTCGTGCAAAACGATGTGCAACCAAAATGATTCAAAGTGGCCCTGTGCCTGTTTCGAACCTCTGAAATTGTGAATTTCACAAAATGATCAAACTCGGAACAGTTTACCATTCATCATATCGAAGGGCTCACTTAAGAGCAAATTTGTCACTTTCAATCATCATTGGTCAGAACAGGCCCCAGCAACATGATTTCCATACGCAGGGCAAAAACTAGATGAGTTCTTATGCTTGGATGGGGTGAGTTTATTGGACAAAGAGAAAATAGAAAACTCAGAAAATTTCCCACTTTTATCATGTAGTTCGTAACATCAGTCAACAATATATCAATCTGCGTTGCGAGATAATATATAAAATAACAAGCCCATAACAAAAGGAACAGAGTGCATCATAAAAGCTTGGTTCCCAACTATTGCCACTCTCTCGTCTTCCTGACCATTGCCCTCACAGCCCCGCCACGAGTATTGACAAACTCCATTCCTTCCCTCAAAGCACATAAACAACAGAACAAAGACCAGAATTTTACAGAAAAATAAAAAAACTCACCAAGAAGCCTAAAACAATGTGGGCCCAGACAAACAATTATGAAGAGAAGTTTTCCAAGGCGGGACACATGCATTCAGTCAGAAGGGAGGAACAGAGGGGCTGCCAATATTGTCCTGCGTGGCACACCTAGGAACCAACGTTCTTGGAGACGAGCCCCTTGACCTCCGAGGAGCCAACTTCCTCGTCATTGAGAAAGCTTAGGTCAACGCCATCGAGGTTGCCACAGTTGCTGCCCCGGCTACCGCCGTTGGCGCCCGCATGGGCAAGGAACAGGTCCTTGAGGAAGCTCAGCTCCTTGTTCAGGACCTTGATCTTGGCGACGAGGTTCTCATTCTCCTCACGCAGCTTGGCCACTTTTTGCTGAGTTTCCTGGGCACGCAACTTGGACTTGGTGCGTGACTTCTTGACGGCCAGGTTGTTGCGAGCCCTGTGCTCGCGGTACTCCTCGCTGTCCTTGTTCAGGAGGGCGGAGCGCTTTCCCCGGGCCATGGAGCTGCTGCAACTGCTGTCGCTGCTGTTCCCACTGGGCTGGTTCCTCGGTGCCATTGAAGCCACGTCTGCCACCGGCACAGCTCCTCTACATTGCGTGCTGCTCCCCAGGCAGCTCGGTTGTGCAACGCCGAGGATCACAGGCTTGGAGACGCTTGTTCTTCTGGAAGAAACGCATGCCCTCCATTGTCCTGCAGACTTTTCAGGCACTACCACACATTAGAGGATAAGGGCCCCGGAGACACTGCTGAACTATTCATGTGGGAGACCCCAAACAGCTACTTGAAATAGCAGTGCGTATAAAAAAGCAAACTCTTAAAAGTTACTTTACCCATTTATAAGGTAGGTTTCCCGTGGAACAGCAAAGGCCCGGTAAACCAATTCCAAGAGTGAGCAACAATTAGGGTTAAAATATATATTTATTACTCATCTACAGGGCTCAAAGCCTCAAGAAGGATCATGAACTGATATTAGGTTTAAATCTTAGAACCATTTTAGAAAGCGTGACACAAAATTAGCATATAACATTGGCTTGATTACCCCACATAAATTGTTAAATAAAAGGTGCCTCCTTTTTTTTTGTTTCCTCCTATAAACAGCTAGTTAACTTGTTTGTGACATGTTTAATACAACATGTGATCTTTGCCAATTCCACCCAAGTTTTGTGTTTGGCTGCAATGCCTAAATGTGACAGCTGAATGTCACTCACAGATTGGATATGTGCATTGCTTCACTGCTTGGCTCACACCGAGGTATGAATAATGTGTCACTGGATTCATGACCAAACAATGTGAGGACTGAAAGCACCGAATAATAACAATGTCCAAGGCACAATAATAATAATAGGGGTGTGGGTATGTTTATGCAGTCCAAACTTAGTCCGCCTCAACGGGCGACTTGTCTCTCGGCTGTAGATGAGAAATTTAGCCACTGCAGTACCTCTGCTAGCCTGGGGTATTTGGCGTGCATCAAGCACTAGTGATACACGACCGCACGCCAGTACGATGCTCATCCAGATTGAAACGGGCGGGGGTAGGGATTGAACTCCGAGGTACAGTATGCACACGCTCCGAAGCATGCCAATCTAAGTGTGGGATTGTGATGAACATTGACAGCAAGAACCAGCAACAGAGCACATGACCACCTTACTGGCTGCAAATATGACATTAAAGCTGTTTGCTTTTCTTCAATGTCTCCTAAAACAGCTGGTGGGTAGAAAAAAAGAACTAATGCCCTTTTTATGTCCTATTAACTACAAGGATTCGTTCTAAACAGTATCAAACAAAAATGAATGAATCATTTCATGCTCCCTTTATGCTGTATGACTTTAAAAGTTGTGCCATGCTTTTCTTTTGCACATAACTGAAATTGTCAAAGAGACTGCAAAACACCACCATAGTTTCTTGGACATGCTTTCCAGTATTCTGAACGACAACGAATACTGAACAAAGCAAGAGCTGTTCGTGCTGGCAAACCTTCACAGAATGGGGCCAGCATGGTACGATATACATGGCTTGCACCTATGTGACATAACAACGTCGATTACCGGCAACCATCATGCAAGTGGTTGAGTCGACGACAAGTCGCCGTGAAAGTCATGGTAAACTGTGCCGCATTCGGGTGAAGCAATTGCTACGTATCCCGTTAATTGGTTTTTTGGCATGCCTTGCGACAGAGTAGCCATCAAAGAACAAAAGGTATCAGTGGGAGAGAAGGGAAGCGGCTACACATTACCGAGCTTGCGTGCCGTATTTCCCCCCCCCATAGCCATACTTCTCAACATTGTTTATATTCATGCAAGCCACTGCATTGGTTTTGCCTGATCGTAGTGTGGATGCCCTTTGCCTTTCACTTCATCACACTGTTTCCATGCTTGGAGCATACCGGCGGGGCTCCCTTGCCGATACAGGCAAGCATGTTGCGCCGCAGCCCAGCCTGGACGTGCGGCGGCCCTCTGAGCGCATAAAAGCTGAGCTGCAGCTGCTGGGGCATCGGCTTGTGCTGTCCACAACACGGTAACCCTGGGTTGCTTATTAGCTAGTGCTTCATGAAATCGGAACAACTTCGCTACTTGAAAGAACTTTCTATCACGACTCCTATACTTCGTATCAGCTTAACTCCGAGAGCAGCCAAAGACTGGCGGACGGTTCACCACCTAGAAAAGAGCGAAGTAGTTCGCAAAATTAAAATTTTAGAAATACTTTGATTGTGTGCAAACATTGGACAATTTTCCAGTTGTGTCCTGCTAAGAAGAATTGTATAAAAAAATTAATGAAATAAATTACATCCCACATTCTTCATAATATATTAATGAATATGCTTCGACGAAAAACGCCTACCTGCTGGCCACACTGATGCAACTGCTATACATTTTTTCCATTTTTTAGTTTTTCGTGTTCTCAACGCCCAAATTGTTGGCTTCAAGTCTGACGCTTTCCTCGCCAAGTTGCTAGACATCCCTCGGTTTTCTGTTTTCCTAATTTGCACCAACAACGCAAGAAAGGCACATTTGGGCATCAGGCGCAAGACTGTGATGAATGTGTACTCTTCTCCGTCAGGAATCCCAAACTGCGTAGTACAGCGAAGTTGTTAAACGAACATCGGAGCTAATAGACGTTGGGAAATCAACGAAAAGTTGATCCGCCAACGGCAGGAAACGCTCTTTGATGACAAGCGGGTCCAAATCGGGTGTCGAGGCGGCGGTCAGAGGCAAAACCATTCGGTGTCGGTGGAGCACAGAGAAAACGCGTATACCAGTGCGAGCGGAGGGATGCGGTATGCTTATGTAGCTGTTATGCGTTTGCGGAGAGGGCGCGCTGCTTTGTTAAAAATCGGAGACCCAGTCTACCCAGAGAGCTCGCTCAACCTGCTTTTTCCATGGGCTCCGGACGGCACCGCAGCAGAGAAGAAGACCCGTCTGGGCACCAAACGTTACCTTCCTCTGCTAGCAGTGCCATGGCCCCAAGCGAAGCTTAGCAGCCACGGCACTGAACCAGAATTTTATTCCAGGATGCAAAATCCCATTTTTAATTATGCAGCAGACAATGTCATTGATACCTCCGTAGCAGACGAAATGTCTTTTTTCGACTCCTCTGCACAGATTTCGTGCGGAGTGATATACGAAGTGTGGGCGAAGTCACAACCTATCGCCGGCGTTTGTTTGGTTACGCTCAAACCTGCGCTGAAACGGAGCATAGAGCTGCTTGTCAAATAGAAGTCCAAGGGACAGTATGCCTTGGACTCCAGGAATTCAAATGCTTTGAATTGGGCAATGAAGCTCGTTTCGCCGACACAGCAGCCCTTCTAGTCAAAAACTTTTCCTGGGGCCCATTCACACCAACACTAAACAATTCCACGCGTCATCATTTTAAGCTCAGCACATTGTTTCAAGTTCACATGTTGAAAACTAGGTACTTTCCTTGAAAGTATAGAGCATGTCAGAGCATAGCCAGGCCGCTAGCGGCCTCCTGCGCCTTGGTAAGCACATATGGGAGGTAGGAAGTCAATCACCAGCATGACGAGCCCCCATTCTTCCTAGCATGATGTCACTTACAAGCTATGTATTGAACGTGACTGGGTAGGATGGAGGAAGTCAATAGAGCTCTATGCTGGCTGGGTTTTGCACATAAAATGTTTTGCATTCGAGAAAAAAATAGGTGACCTTGTGGGTACCTCAGCTTGTAGAACACGAGAAATAGACATATATAGGCGCATGAAAATACCATGTCAGCACAATTTTAAACATTTTCATGCCACATTGTGGTAACATGATTGAGCAAAAAGATTACTTGTTTGAATTGAACCTGTGTTTTTAAGATATCAATGTTAAAAGAAAATCTAACAATTGCATCTCAAACAGTCCTCTTGCACTGCTCCTAACTCTTGTCTTAACTTGCAACATAACAAAGGTGGACATACCATTCCTATGGGTACGTTTAGCCTGCCCTTCCCAAATTTAATATACATGCCAGATTGCAAAAACTAAACAAGCTACGGAATCCTTAAAATCTAGATCAGAACAAAATTAAAAAAAAAAAAAAAGCGTGTAAGTATGCATACTCTTATGACAAAAGATGCTGCAAAATAATTTACGACGCTTTAGAAAATGGATAAAGCAATCCATTCAATGTGTGTCCTGTGGTGGGTAGTCTCTTTGATTGGTCATCAGCGGACGTCAAACGCAACCTCTAGTAGAGCTAAACAATGAAGTGCGATCCCCTCTTAAGTACCTACCAATTAGTCCATTCTAAAACCACCCAGAAACTTGTGTGTCCAGTCTGCGTAGCCCAACTTTGTTCAGCCAGCAGCCTCAAACCGACGCGTGAAAAACAGCAGTTTTCGCCACCATTGACACAGGATACGGGCGTACCGAAAGAAAAACAAACGCTTCCGAGCGAAAACTACGCAATATTATGTCACACAACGGACGAAAGTAGACCATTGAGTATGAATCAATTGCCCGCAGTAGCATTTTAAGACGCATTCAGTGAGAAATTAGTAATGACAATATTGGCATTCTTCCTGATATGACTAACACTTTGTTTACTACATATCGCACGTGCCTACAACGTTTTCAATCGGGTTACAGCGCACCAAAGGTAGACAAAAGTTTATCTGCACCGTGTAGACCGCGTAGTATACAACGGACGAGCTAAACTACGCAATACTTACCAGAAAAGCTGGCGTATCAGATCTTACCAGCATCCAAACATTCACATCAGAGGGATTGCATCACAAAACGACATCAACAGCCAATCGCAGATAGAAAATTCCTGCTGGATGTAGCGACGAAACGGTGGCCACATTGCTGCCTAATTACTTACGTTTCCTTGTGGATACTCATACCTGACGAAAATAACGCTCGATTTTAGCGGAATCACGAAAGGGGAAAAAGGAAAGCCTACAGCTAATAGTTTGCTTCTGTTTTTTGTTTTGTTTTTAAGCCAAGAGTAGTGACGCGAGGCGGACGCTAGCGACACCACAGGTGAGTGTTTGGGTATCGAAACACGATCGAATGTCGAAGCCATGTCGGTGTACCGTCATTTTCGCCGTCATCTGCTGCTGCTGTCATTCCCGGCGTTGTACGCGTTCTCCAGTGACAGCGACGTTCCCTCAAGTTGCCCCGCTCGTCTAGCGTCCGACAGACCGTTTTCCCACCTCGACATGGCCACGGGAGACAAGTGGAAGGACGCCTGCTCCATCCACGACTTCGTGGCCGAAGATATCCGCGGCCAAGAGGTTCCCCTCAGCAAGTACGCCGGCCACGTCGTGCTGATCGTGAACGTGGCATCGCAGTGCGGCTTCACGGACTCTAACTACAAGCAGCTGCAGGAACTGCACGACAAGTACGCCTCGCACAACCCGCCGCTAAGCATCCTCGGGTTCCCTTGCAACCAATTCGGGAGTCAGGAGCCCGGCAGCAACGAGGAGGTGGCGAAGTTTTGTAGCGCCAAGTACAACGTCAAGTTTGACCTCTTCGGGAAAGTCGACGTGAACGGGGACGATGCACACCCGCTTTGGAAGTACCTCAAGCACAAACAGGGCGGCACGTTCGGCGACCGAATCAAGTGGAACTTTACCAAGTTTCTGGTGAACAAGGCAGGGCAACCGGTCGCCAGATATGCGCCGACCACGGAACCGAATGCCATTGAATCAGACATCAAGAAGCTCTTGGGAGGGGCCTCGCAACTCTAGCAGCGATAAACCTTTTGAAAAAGTGCCTAGCTCTTTTCCCCCTCGGAAAACAGCAGCGCCAGTGTTGAAGAAATCTTGTGCAGGGCGTTTTCGCCTGGTACGGCAGATGAAGCATGTGCAGTGTTATTGCTTACAACCGCGATTCTATCATGCTGATGTATTTTTTTCTTTTCAATAAGCGATGATCAAAAAAAAAAAAAGAAGGAACGGGTTTTTTGTTTTCATGCCAGCTACAAAAAGTCAATTTGAGCAGTGCAGGTACAAACTGAGATTAAAATCTAAGTTGCTGGCCTCAACACATGAAAAAGTGGAAAAAGCAGCTCTGCACATTTGTCCAAACAGACATTTCCAATGAAGAAAGTGTCAATCTCGTGAACTGTAGGAGCTATGCATTAATTTATTTCCTTAAAATAGAGGGTGCATATTAACAAGCACATACAAGCACCACATTACACTCTGGAGCAGTAAATCTCTTGGTGAAACGGCAGCTTCCAGGAGGTCCCTTTCCATGTTCTGCCCACCAGCTTCTGACTGCCCCACGTTTTTGTTTGTATTATACTGTTCATTGTGTATAATTTGTCAATTTATGCAACCACAACGTAAAACAATTGTACAGGGTGCAGCTGTAAGGGCTAACATGCCTTGCAAAGTTCAAATTCCAAACATACATACCTGAAATTGGGCACGCGAACATCTATTGGAAAAACTATTCGTCCATTTTTTTACAACTCGACTCGGGGTTGGTAAAAAAAAAATATATATATATATATATATAAAAACAGCAACGGTGCTTTTTTTATGCCCTATACTGGACGTTCATCATAAGCACACTGATTTGTGAGCTTGCTCCCAGGTTGCCATTGTTCATGAATTTCATAAAAAGTATTAATTATTGTGATTATCTTGCTCTTTGTCAGCCTCTACTATTGGTTATCAGCGTTTTTGCGTTCAGCAAGCCACCCGGGACTCAGATTTCGCTTTATTTTTAATACTTCACTACTTCCGAGTTGAGCTCTAAAAAAATATAGACCTAAAACTCCTTGCAAAACTGTGTTCACATGCCCAATTACAGGTATGAACGTTTGGAATTTGATTTTCTGAAGGTGTGCTAAATGTGTTAGTCCTTACGGCTGCACCATATATGTGCTTACAATAGCATATTACTACAAATGACATTGCAAAATATTTTGTTCCTTGGCCTCAGGTTTTTACATTGTTTAATCTTTTTTGCTCCTTCTAACCTTAGGAAAATTGCATGTTTCATTAATTCAGCCTAAACTAGAATATGCATTGAGCATATAAGACCCTTATCATGTATATCCCATTACCGAAATAGAAACTTTTCAAAAGTTAGTCACACTTTTTATTTTTTCTGAATATTCCCGTCATTCAACATCACATCATTAAATCAAAGGGTTGACCTTCCTGAGTTGGCTTAAAAGGAGCCTTAAAGCAATTTTTCTACTTTCGCTAAATACTACTAACGATAATACTACTACTAACGATAATAACCAAATAAACTTGCCTTAGGTTTTCTTTCTAGGCAATGGCAGTTGCCAAAAAAATTTGATAAATATGAGCATCATTCATCCCCTGAAGCCAGAACAAATGGCCATGTGGCCTGGTGCCTATCCTATGCCGCCAACATTAATTATACCCAAGCGCTGTGGTTGGCAAAGTAGGAAATGCGTGCTGACCTCCAGGCATTGTGAGAGTTCGGCTATTCTCATCACGGCAGTGGTTGGACACGAGCCACTACCCGAGTGTCCGCCGAGGCAATGATTATACTGAGCCGCAGTCGAGTGCTCGCACAGTACTCGTGTGCAATCCATGAGCCGTGCTCGACTGTCGTCAGGCGGGTGGTTTCGATCCCACAATTACATCATCAAGTTTTGTTTAGGAAGACTGAAAGAAATAGTCCCCTTTTATCCTCACCATTTCACCTCGACCAAGAAGCTTCTGAATCAGTGGCGGTCTATGCCAGTATACTTAGGCCAGACTAGGACATCAGTATGCCTCTGCAAAGTCATGAACATTCCAACCCGATATCGTTTCATGACCCTTTTAAAGGGATACTACAATGAAATTTCGGCACTCATTTCTTGGTCTACCTCGACCAAGAAGCTTCTGAATCAGTGGCGGTCTATGCGAGTATACTTAGGCCAGACTAGGACATCAGTATGCCTCTGCAAAGTCATGAACATTCCAACCCGATATCGTTTCATGACCCTTTTAAAGGGATACTACAATGAAATTTCGGCACTCATTTCTTGGTCTATTCTTGTTCAAGGGAGCAGTACCACATCAGGCACACCAATCTCTTGTTAGAAAAAACACAAAAAGAAATTTTAAAACGAATTAAACAAGCAGCAAAGAGCACCTGGTGGATGTCGCTAAAGCCTCGTTTGTAATGCCTATCTAGAAACTTTGACAGGTAGTGACGATACCTGTCTTGCTTTCAGCTATCACGAGAGAAGAGGGGAAGGAGAAACTCCCCTTTCACCGGGACTCTCTTGTGTGTCCCAGAGGTCGTTATTCTCCCTCTACACAATTACAGAAGATCAACCCATCACTCAAAATTCATACAAAAGCAGCTTTGGGGTTAGCTGCAGTGTCCCGATCGCTGGCGTGCTTCGGCTGCTTCGGTGGCTGGAATGGCTAGGACATCTTGTTGTTGTCATCCCGAGAAAATCTATGTCACGACTGCGCCGGATGTCACGTGCTCTCTGCTGGCTGCTCTCCTAGCGCTTGCCAGAGTGGGCCATTTATAATGAAACATAGAGCCATCAGTCTCAAAATAGAAAAGTGTGATTGTCATTTACGGATATTGTGGATTATATTCAGCCTATTTCTGAACACAACGGGTATATTTCAAATTTTGTTGAAGTAACACTTTTAAGGGGTACTCCAGCGTCTTCTTCACAGTCCTCAATGAGCCTAAACATTTGCCAACACCACCCACAAACATCACTGAAAAAGTTACCCCAATATTGGCCCGTAATAATTTTTTTCTCTTTTCGCTAAGTTATTGAATTACCAAGTTTGGTCCTCATCTCGTTTTTCAAAGCGAGTCTCTACTGGCAGCAATGAAAACGTGACATCAGGGGAGGGTGGGGATTCGCTCTTTGGACTGTAGACTTTGTTCCGAAGTGATGAAAAGCAATTTCATGGTGTCAAATGAATGCTTTGGAAGCTCGCTCCAGAACCCAGCAGGACAAAACTGCATAGTCCATTTTTAGACTGCCCGCTCTACCTGCAAGCCTGCAAAAGTAAAGACCAGTGATTCCGAAAATACAGTTAATTGGGGTGGCTCAAGAAATTGCCGGAGTACCTTTTTACGATGCAAAGTTTCTTGCTTATGCCTCCTTCATAGCATTTTCCTACACTATTTCTCTCAGCCATGGTTCCTCAATCGGCCATCCTTCTTTACATCTCGTCTTAAACACTCATGCAAACTTAATCGCTCCACCTGCCAAACCTCTTTGTTTCTATGCGGAGCGCAAGTTTTTCTGGTTTTACAGGAGTTGCGGGGACGTCAGGACGCCGAGCTCCAATTGGCTCCGACTGAAGAATAGTGATAGACCTCAAAGCAAGCTGCCTTGAGTTCTACCCACTACCCTTCAATTACAGCCAATGAGAGCTCGGCGTCCTGACGTCCCCGCAACTCCTGTAAAAGAAGCAGAAAAACTTGCGCTCCGCATATTTTTCTTTCCCAAAATCTGTCTGGTGGAATGGCCTCTTGAATTCCACAGCCACCGAAACTAACCCCGAACGTTTACGGGCTCTTCTTTCTCCACATTAGGGATTATATGATTTGTGTTCAATTATTTCTTGTTTAAGATTGTGGTGGTTCTCTATGATTGATCATATTTGATTTTTGAATTTTGTTCTTGTTTTTTTACTTCGATTTTTTTTTTTTTTTTGTAGTGCTGTGCATAGACAGTTGTAGGTTTTTGCTCTGGCAATTTTACTGTTGGTTTTTGGTTTGTTTGTTTTTTCCTCGAAATGTTTATCCCCCTATGTAATGTCTTTCTTTAAAGGGGTACTCCACCGATTTTTTTAGCTACCTTAACTAACTATATTTTCTGACTCCCCGGCCTTTACTCTCTCCGGTATGCTATTTAGAATCGCGAAATTCATAATAGGTATTGTGAAATCGGCAAATGAAAATGATCCAAAAACCAACATTCAAATATTCGCGCACTTTTCAGTGCCGTGACGTCAGTGGCAGGCAGACTTTCCAGTCGAGCAAGCAGCCAAAAAATAGAATATGCCAATCATTTGCTCCGTGCTGGAGCGCGGGTACTGCAGCGAGCTTCCCAAGCATTCACTTGACACCATGAAACTGCTTCGAATCAGTTTAAAACAAAATCTACAGCCCAAACAGTGAACCCCTGCCTTCCACTGACGTCACTTTTTCATTGTTGCCAGTAGAGACTTCGAGCTTGAAAAACACGGTGAGGACCAAAACTGTAAATTCAATAACTTTGCAAAAAAACAATATTTTGACCAAATATTTGGGATACTATTTTCACGATATTTGTTGGTTAGTTTAGCAAAATTTCAAGCAAATCGGAGACAATGAAAAAACCAGTGGACTATCCCTTTAAGGGACATTTAAGGTATTTAATCTACCAATTTATTTATTTATTTGTCGAGAACGTGGGGGTCACCGTTTTACTGAATTTAGCAACCTTTAGGAGCTCTGCATCACATTGCCCGAACCTCTATTCACAAATAAATTATTATAGTATTTTTCGTCCTTTTTTTTTTTTTTTTTTTGACAGTTTTGAAGATTTAATTCTTATTTGTTTTTATCTTGTTGCCATTTTCATCCTCCGTTTGCAACTACAAAAATGTGGCATGTACGCTACAAATGTCAGCATGCCAGTATCACCGAAACCTCGAGACAGAATAAAGCGAAGCCTTGGGAAAACGAACTGTTGACAACAGTAACCCGGAATAAAGGTAGGCCCGAAAAAGTGCTCACCTTACGTGCTCCACGTCCAGCGACGACGGAAGATTTATTTTCTTAGAAGGTTGTAATTCCAGAGACACTGCCTTGCATTTCTTCGTTTCTGTTGCCTACGTTGCTGTCCCTTTCGAAGGCACCAACGCGAAGGGAGTTCGAAACTCGCGTTTTCAAATTGAAATCGTACCACAAACACCCGCCATTTAGCTTTCACCACACAACGAGCGGGAACTGAAGGTAGATGGCGCAACAAAAGTGTTAAATGGTATAGAATGGTAGTCTAATTTAAATTTGTTTTTAATCAGTCATTCACTCATAAATAATTATATCTTCATTCATATTAAATTTAAATGGGATTTTGTTTTTCTTAGCTTGCAAAAAAAGTAAAATCTAAAAAATACAAAGAAAACGCGCTACAGTTCGCGCTCGCGCGCTCTCCGGAATCTTAGTTGGTATAGCGCTCAGCCGGTGGCGCCACAAGTCCACGACTTGAAATAACGTGGCCACGTGGCTGTGCCATGCACATTTTCCTGTAATTTCGCGTTCATGCTGGCCCCCTGGCCCTATCATACTTCGTTTCACCTTATGTGCGAGCGAAGG